GAAGAGAAAGAGTTGGAGAACGAAGGGTCCTTGAGGAAAAGAAGCAACAACAGGGTGAATAGTAATAGAAGAGTGCCGGAAGAAGAGCAAGAGCCTCGTCCTCCAATGCCTCCTCCTCCTCCTTCCAAACAACCCGAACCTCGTGATCACGTCACTCATCATCATCATCCCTTCATGGCGCAGGATACGCAGAGTGGTGCTTGGGGAGAGTTCTTCTTCCCTTCCATGGAGAACATTCCCGGGCCCAGCCTCAATGCCGCCGAAGAAGATGCTGTCAACAAGGTCCACGAAGTTGACAGGAAGGCGTTCGATGAAAAGCCCAGCAGGGTGGTGGAGGAAATTGATGATGAGGTCGTCACGCCTGTGAGGGATGTTGAGGTTCCTGAGCCCGAGCCTGAACCCAAGCCCGAACCCGTCGCTGTGCCCGAGGAAATGATGGAGACGCCGGTGGGGAAGGGCGTGAAGTTGAAGCAGACGCCGACTTCTGTGGAAGCGAAGAGGATTGTGAAACATACTGTGAATCTGCAGAAAATATTTGCTGATCTCGATGACAATTTTCTCAAGGCTTCTGAAGCTGCTCATGATGTTTCAAAGATGCTTGAGGCCACACGCTTGCACTATCACTCCAATTTTGCGGATAATAAAGGTACTTGCTGCTACTCATCTCCTGATTCTCCGTAATAAAGGTACTTTGTTTCTAGTTTTTGGGATCATTTAGTGGGAATGGTGTGATAATAGAGGATTACTAGTCGTAGATTTCACGGTTGAAGTGGTTAGTTTGGTCATGAGAGGGGAAACGAACTGGGTAATGTCCTGTTTTTTGTATTCTCATATTGGATTGTATTGATGCTAATTTTTGTTGTTTGTGTGTATTCTTCGTGCAGGACACATTGATCACTCTGCACGGGTCATGCGAGTTATTACATGGAATCGATCCTTTAAGGGAATACCTAATGTGGATGATGGGAAGGATGATTTTGACTCAGATGAGCACGAGACGCATGCTACCATCTTGGACAAGTTGTTAGCGTGGGAGAAGAAACTTTATGATGAAGTTAAGGTAAGTTGACTGAGACAAATATTATGTGATAGGAGTTTTACTTGCATTACTTTCCTATTTGAATTTTGACAATTTTCTTTCTTAGACATGAAGCTCTGAGCATGTCAATTAAGTGTGCGTGTGATGTGTTTGTTAAATATCTATATCTTTCTGTCTGCTTATCCTTTTTTTAGTGTCTTATCTTTGCTTAGCTCTGGATTACATATGTGCGCAAACATTTTTTGTTCTAATTCTTAATTTGTCTGCACAATATTATTTTATAGGCTGGTGAACTAATGAAATTTGAGTACCAAAGAAAAGTTGCCACACTTAATAAGCTGAAGAAAAGAGGCACCAACTCTGAAGCATTGGAGAAAGCAAAAGCAGTTGTCAGTCATTTGCATACGAGATATATTGTAGATATGCAATCCTTGGATTCAACCGTCTCAGAGATTAACCGTTTACGTGATGAACAGTTGTATCCAAGACTTGTTCAGCTAGTTGATGGGTGAGTTGTAATGTAGAAATTATTATTTGTAATTATAGACGGCTAGTCTTTTAACCATGAAGAAGTTTTTCTATGTTTGTTTTTACGATTCACATATTTGGCATGCTTCTTCTTATGCTACATTAATGTTTCTTTTGGAGCGCTTGTTTTTATTCAAATGAATGATGATGGATGCCTTTTGCTGGGAAGCTTTTTTTTCTCTTCCTATTTCGTTAAACCATTAATGCATTAGCCTGGACAATTACAAGTGCACAAACTCATCCTCACGCATGACATGACCATATAAGCTTCTCTGCTAATATTGATGGACTTTTCATGGATTGTAGGATGGCCGAAATGTGGAAATTCATGCTAGAGTGCCATGAGAAGCAATCAGATACTGTGAAATTGCTGAGAACGTTGGACATTTCCCAGTCTCCTAAGCAAACCAGCGAACACCATCATGACCGAACATACCAACTACTGCTTGTTGTGCAACAGTGGCATTCACAATTTGAAATGCTTGTCAATCATCAAAAGGCATACATAAAGGCCCTGAACACTTGGTTAAAATTAAATCTTATTCCTATTGAAAGCAGCTTAAAGGAGAAGGTTTCCTCACCTCCAAGGGTTAGAAGTGCGCCCATACAAGGCCTTCTCCATGCATGGAACGACCGTCTCGAAAAACTTCCCGACGAGCTTGCTAGGACAGCTATAGGAAACTTTGTTGCTGTAATAGAGACTATTTTCCATCAGCAAGAAGAAGAAATAGCTTTGAAGAGGAAATGTGAGGATACGCGAAAGGAGCTATCCCGCAAAACAAGGCAATTTGAAGATTGGTATAACAAATACATGCAAAAGAAAATACCAGATGAATACAATCCAGACACAGCAGAAGACACTAACGGTCCTGATGAGGTTGTTACTGAGAGGCAGGTTGCAGTTGATCAAGTGAAGAAGAGATTAGAAGATGAGGAAGAAGCCTATGCAAGGCAATGCCTCCAAGTGAGACAAAAAACTTTGGGAAGTCTCAAAAATCGCATGCCAGAGCTCTTTCGGGCTCTGTCCGATTTTTCTCTGGAATGTTCCAAGATGTACAGTGAATTAAGGTCTATATCACCGAACCTAGGCCAGAGCTCATCATGAGCTGGATTGTGCTTATTTATTTATTCGCTTATTTTTTTTCTGGGTAAAGTATATTTTTCTCAGTTGTGTCTATGATTTGAGATCTCTTAGTTGGAGATGAGTCCTGAAGATTACATATGACATTGTTAAATAATCAATGTTTGAATTTCATATTATCGCAGAGAATGTAGTTGAATTGATTCATGCCCTTGGATGTATCCATGTTTTGTTCAATTGCAAATTTGTAATTAATGTCAATCTCCTCAAACCGTTTCAACGTACTGTGCATGCTGGTTGATAGGGGAAAGGTACGATTTCATCTATAAACATGCTTCTGGCTGGAAAATAAAAATGATTAGTTTATGTAATCCAATTCTTTAATACACCGGCCTCATCTTCTAGCTCTTGAACAATATCAATCTCACGTCGTTTTCATAAAAATAAAGTGTTTTTGCATGCATGGCAGTATTATGAGAAGTAATTTAATATTTGATTTGATGTGGCATTCGTTTTATTTGTAATATTCTTAATATGTATGTTAACATTAAATGTTTCGTTAGATTTTTCTTTTTTTTCTTTTTTGAGAAGGTATTAGAAGATTTGTATTAATTTAATTATTTGTTCATGGAAATAATGGAAGTTGGTTTAGCGGCCCATGGACTTGGAGCGATCATAAAAAATCAGGGAATTGGTCCATAATCTTGGCCCATGCTGTGGGTTACAAGCTAAGCTTAATTAGTGTCATAATCATAAAGGTTATTTCTTCCTCTATTCCATAATTTCTTCCTCACCCCCTCATACGTACAACAAAATAATATAACTTTTTGTGTTTCATGGAAACCACAATTCCAAAAATTATTTTAGAGTGTACTAAATTGATGGATCCAAAAAACTTTTTGATTGATAAATGTTTTGAAACTAAGAAACATATTGTATATTTTGGATTCATTAATCCAAAAATTTTCTAGATACTTTATCATATTATCAATTTTAAATCCGTTAAACATAAAAGGGGTAATTTTTTTTTATAATATATATGGGATAAAAAATAAATCATAAGAAGGAAAAAGAAATAACCTATAATAAAGTGTTAGATTTTTTTGAAATAGTAAAACATTACATTAGTCCTACCTTTTAGATCTTACAAAATTTTTTGATCACTCTCATTTTATTAAATTTTATTAAGGTGTAGAAAAAATTATAAAAATTTAAAGAATTAGGAATCTATCACATTAATAATAATTTTGTCCTGCAATATGAGAAATTGAATCGATTTACCTCTTTTATTTTTCTCTAACGCTCGAATTTTTAAAAGGTTTTTTTCTTTATTCAATTGTCAAATTTTTAAGTTGAAAATAGCAGTAATTATTCCTTATTTTTATATACCTTTATCCGTAATTAATTATATCTTTAAATCGAAAAGATTATCTATTCTACCCATTTCATTTCTATATAAAAGCAAATGTATGTTTGTAAACTAATTAAAGATTGTGTAAAGGGTAGACGTATAAATGAATTTTTTTTTATTAATACTGTTTTAAACTATGAAAATGATAATTAAATAAAAATAAAAATATTTCAAAACACTGATAGTTAAGTAAAAAGTCCTATCAATTTTTCTTGTTTAAATTTTAGGGTTGTAATCCTTTTAATAAAAGAAAATGTATTAGAAGATTAATAAAAGAAATATATATATATATATATATATATATATATATATATATATTATTCTTGATGTTAATTATTAATAATGTATATGAATGGATCGGAAAATTGTATTTTTTATGCTAGAATTTATAAAAGACACGTTTCAAAATTTTAAACCAAACATACATTTAAACAAGTGTGTATGTATATAGATGAGTGTTCACAAAGTTTGGATTATTATTTTTAAGTAATTTGATTTCATAAAATTAATTTGATGATTTTTTTTTATCTTGGGTTGTTTTTATTCTAAAACTAATAAAATCTCAATATCATTTGTGTGATCCAACTTAAAAACTATTTAAAGATTTTCAAACTCAATCAAATTCTCTTAAGATCTGGTCAAATATGTAAGTATTTACATATAATTACATTAGTTACTGTTTCAAGAGATTATGAGTAATCCTATAATTCAAGTACACCATCAATGCTTTGAATACGTTAACTTTTTATAAATAAACAAGCCATGGCCATCCAAGTTGGAAGGAGATTACATACGTACATGAACAAGAGTAATAATCAGAAATCAGAAGTCAAATATGAAGAGAAGAATGGTAGTTATTCAATAATAAGTCGTCAATGTATTACAAAAGAACAAAGTCAAAGGTACCGTGGCACATTCTGTGATTTGATTACATAGGAATATCATGCTGAGCAACAAAAATAACTTCTCCCTCTATCTTGTATATCACTGTTCAAATTCATTCCGGTAGGCTTTGGTGGTAAAGCTATAGCTAGTCTTTTTGCTGAATTCATCAAATACAAAACAACAACTTAATACACCAGCTATATTTCCTTAAACTGACACCTATGTCAATTTGGTATGGAGGTGAAAATTTGTGGATATGTTTTATTAGTAGAATAGTGTTGAAATCTTGTCCGTGATTTTTTCAAATCATTTTTATCTCCACACCAAAAACTAACAATTTGAGGAAAATAAATGAATTGGCTAGAGTGTTTTGAAGATGTTCAGAAAATACCTATCTCATAGAAAAGCTCATTGATGTTCTCTGCAGTCTTAGCCGATGTTTCCATGTAGAACATTCCATTCTCTTGCGCAAATTGCTCTCCTACCTGCAGTAGTTCAATTTACTCAAACGAGTCATAAGGTAAGAACAGAAGCGAAGAGGGATCGGCTGCAGTTACACTAACTCTGGTCCTTTTTAAAAAGTGTTAAACAAGTGGTAGTTTTAAAAAGGACTGGCAAATAATGAAGATAATGCTTAGAAATGAACTTCATCTTTCATCATTTCAAATGGAGAGGTGAGAAAAAAGAAAAAAGAAGTTGGGTGAGAATTGACAAACATTAAAACAGTGTTCCCGTGTATTTATCATCATTTTCTATTCCTAGTGAAAAGAAAGGAGCAGGGTGTGAAGATGATCTCAAACACTACCTCAGCTTCAACCTCTCTCTTTGGCTCCAAGTCCGATTTGTTTGCTACTAATGCCATCACCGCCTTCTGATTTCCTACATGAAGTAGTTATGGTTTTACTGTAGTGACTAGTGATGTAGGAATTAATGAATATCTAATGAAAGAGATAGAAAACATCTACTTGATTATCGAAAGACAAATATGAGTAGGTGATTGAGGATAGTGGCTTTATTTCCAACTTCTTTACGCTTAAAGTACAAATTTGAATTGCAGCAACAAGAAAAATACCAATATATATATAGCATTTATTTATTTCCTGAATTTAAGGCATTACCGTGTGTTTGCAATTCCTGAACCCATTTTTTGGCTCGAACAAATGTATCCTGGAAAGAAAGATCATGACAGACAAAAAGTTTCAAGATTCATTCAAGAATAAAAAATAAAATAAAACTTTAATTACTAATGTAGCATTCAGTATTAACGTATCATTTCTTCTATTGCTATTCTTCTTCAGGGTAAGGTAAAAGGCAAAATTCAAGAGCAAAGAGAACATATTGCACTGCAACCACATGAGGTAAGATTTACCAGAATAATGCCGAGCATGAAATATCAGTCGTGATCAGTAATTTCTTCACTGAAGAGGGTTTCAGCAGAAAATTAGGAGGAAAATTTACACTGTCTATCAATTCACAGTGCAGGATACTGAATTTTTTTGAGGCAGAGTATTACAATTACAAGTGTTTTTATCAGTTTCTGTAATAATTTCAAACAAAATTGCACTAAAGCCAAATGTTGTTAGGCTTGTCATATCACAACATAATTTCAAAACCCTGGTAAGGCTTTCAAAACAGCAATTGAATACTTACAACGCTTGAGATGTCATAGACAACAATTGCTGCTGCTGCACCACGGTAGTACATAGGAGCCAAACTATGATACCGTTCCTGTCCTGCTGTGTCCCATATATCAAACTTCACAGTTGCTTCAGATAATGATAATATTTGGGTGAAAAAAGCGGCTCCTATGGTTGGTTCCTGTGCGTAGATTAATTTTAATTAAGGTTTCTAAACTGTTTTGTTACCGTTCTTGGGGTACACTGACGTGTGAATGAAGAAATCAGCTTTCAAATTTCAATCAATGCAATAAAATGGAAGCAAATTAACCTGGTTGGGAAAGAATTGGCCTTTTACAAATCTCAATGCTAAACTGGTCTTTCCAGTTCCCATGTCTCCAAGAAGTACCTACAAACAGAAGGGGGCATATTTTATGAATGTCTGTGTCCGATCTTAATGAACATATTTATAGATGAAGATCGACCAAAAACTATATGAAATGGTCTATACATTGTGGACATACAAACGTTGTAGCTTTTTAAAATATTTATTATGTACCAAATCTAAAATATGGTCTAATTGCATTAAGAAAATCTTATGTGCTATGTTGATCTTCTTTGCCTGTTTCTATTCATATTTAACAACGATCTAATCACATGATTGTTATTCTGGACATATTAATTATTCATTGGTTTCTTTATATATCTGACAAGCACAAATGTTTGATACAGCAGGGATAATACAATATATTGTAGAACTCATTGAAATAATCTCTAAAAGATTAGGATCAAGTAAAAGAAAATTAAGAATAAGGTAAGACATACCCACCAGCTTGGCTTGAATGATCTTGTTCCCTGGTCTTGCCATACCGCTAGATAGGTTGGATAAAAGAAAACAAATTTTAGAAGTTGCAGAAAAAAGAGTTTTGTGATCAGAGAGGGTACTAGCTAAATCTCTCACAGGAAAATTGGCTAAGAAACAGAACCTTTGACTAGTTGACTGGTAGTTTTGTTCAGCATTGACTGTCAGTTTGTGGAATATGCTCTAAATGTCACACAGCACTGCTGTAACATACGTTCAACTTTCCTTATTCTCTTCAACTATATCCATCCACTGTGTGTCAATGTCATACATGAGGCCTAAAAACTGCAAAAAATAACACTTCAATTCAAATACCTGATGCATCATGTCAGTCCATAATCTCCTACCAAAACAATAAGTGCCCAAAAAGCAATATTTTCAACTGAATGCTTTCAGCCTGGTTCATTATCAAAATGCAACTTTTGCTTGCCAAATTAATTACACGTTAAGAAAAATAGTAGCAACATATTCTAGAATAGACCCAAAATTAAAATTCTTAAATCTATAGTACCTAAAACAAATAAACTTTTAAAATAAGTATTTGGCAATAATTGTATTTGATAAATAACAACTATTTATAAATTTCCCTTATTCAAGGTTATTTTTAAAATATAAATAATTAAATATACTTTTACTTTTAATAGTTTTGTTTAAATTTCAAGGTTGGAGAATGACTCTAGTCTCCTCACTCTCAATTAGATTTTGATTTTTTTTAAACCAAAAAAGATGTCCCAATCTAAAATCAAACCGTTGAAGGATAAGCAAAACATTGTGAAAAAAGTAAATCCATCTTAACTTGCCCTTGAAGCATAAGAAAAACGATGAAGCAAAAGAAAGACAAGCACAACACAACGTATCATTCACAGACAAAATAGGAAAACGCGCCACAATTTCCCAGACACAGACCAAAATTAAAAAGGTAATCAATCATGCGTTGCATACTCACTCCAACACTCTTCAGATTCTTCAATCGCATTACACACAGACACAGTGTTTAAAGAGAAACCATGCGCATCTCCAAAGCTTCCTTCTACACTCTCCTCCTTCACAAACCTTACCACCGTGAAAACCTCGTCGTTTTATCGCGGCGTCGTGTTATCACCTGCGCGCTGAGTGTGGCGCTGGTCCTGACCACGCTCTACGTTTTGTGGCCGTCGAATCCAGATCTGAAGATCGTGGGGCTGAAGCTGAGGCGGATAAAGGTGCACCCTGTGCCGCCCATCACCGTCGACATTTCCATGCTGCTGACGCTGCGGGTGCGCAACGCTGACGTGTACTTCATGGACTTGGGTGCGGTGAACGTGGCAGTGGCGTACAGAGGGAAGATGCTGGGGCACGTGAGGTCGAGGGAGGTGCACGTGAGGGCAAGGGGGTCTTCCTACGTGGACGCTGACGTGGAATTTGCAGGCATAAGCGTGGTGCCTGAGCTGGTGGTGCTGCTTGAGGACGTGGCGAAAGGCATCGTACCCTTTCACACAGATAGCCAGACTATGGGCCAATTGGGCCTTTTCCTCTTTCACTTCCCCATGAAGGTACTTCACTACATCACTAACCCAAATTCATAATTAGCATGAAAAGCCCAATAATACTTATCCCACAGGCAAAAGTATCGTGCGAGGTTGTGGTGAGTGTTATAAACCACACTATTATTCGTCAACATTGTCTCCACGAGGTAACTATTTCATTTTTCAATTAATATATCTTCATGATTTCATCGTTCTGAATATCTCTGTGATTTCCCTTCAGTGACCATGCAGCACCCCACTGTAAGTATGATGCTCCTACATTCATCATTCTTGTAAAATCAATTATGCCCAAATCCATATATGTCCCTAAATTTTGATTCTGTAGCAACATTTTTATTTGGAGTTTATTCATTTTTCATCTCCTTTAGATAAATATATAAATAAATTTGTAATTTCATAACTATTTTATTTTTATTAGAGCCACGTGTTGGGTTACTCGCAGATCTGTTATTTAGGTAATAGTAGTATTATTCTGTTAATTTTAAATATACTTTTCTTACCACTTGTTTGAGCTCACAAATAAAAAATTAATAAAGGTAAACATATTATATAATTCATTTTGTTTTTTAGTGTATTGAATAAATATAATTTTAAAACTACTAATGTATGATAAAATAAAATACAATACAATTTATTTATTAATTAATTAATAGAGACTATATTATTTATATAGACACAAATAAAGTATGCGACATGTTGATAAAAGAGAATTATCACATAATAAGTTTTTATTGTCTTTGGACGAACTCACGAACATTTGCGAATTAATTATCTTGATTCATCCTATATAATTGTAGACATTTGAGTTATTTAAAAAAATAAAATAATTGGTGCATTATTTAATAGATAGATTTTTTATCATAGTTTTTTTAGAATTTCAGTTAATAAAAATCAAAATATAATAATAATAATCTTTTTTGATAAAAATATAGATTAATATTTTTTTATGAATTTAATTTTTAGTTTCATAATTTATTTACTTATTTTTAACGGCTGTTTTGAATAACTAAATATAAAATTGATATGACTTTAATCACAATTAAATTTATATTAAATTTAAACAAATAATTAAAATAACATTATATAATAATGTAAAATTAATAAACAATGATACACCAAATAAATCTTAATAATAAAAATACATAAATATCGAAAATAAATTAAACTGAAATTGTAAATAATATAGTTATTTAAATATTTAAAAAGAAAAATCTGTCTTACGTTTCGTTTGACTTATGCAGATTGCAACATCACCCTAAAACTCAACTAACCAGAGTTTAAAGATCATAATTTAAGATGCGACTATATTTTTCTTCTAAAAATTTTACGTTAAATTAATCCTTTAAATATACAAAAATTGTCATATATATTATTGATTATTTTGTGTCATCTCATCAGATTCTCATACGAGCTAAGGAAGATGTTATATAATTCATGAATTAATTTATGAGAAATCATTTTATGAAACTAATTCGACATAAAAAATAAAATAAGACTAATGTGACAACAATCTAATATTTAGATTACTAATTTAAGGTTTAACTTCATAAAAAAAAAACAACTTTTTTAGAACTTAGAGATAAATCTAATAATATTAGAAAAAGAGAGAGTAGCTTCGGAATTTGTACATGTAGAAATATTTATTGAGAATTATCGAATATGGAAATCATGCCAAATTAATCCTTCTTCACATGATGAAGAGAGAAAAGGTTGGAACATATATGAATAAATTTATCGCCAAAGACTTATCAACATTTTTTGTTTCAAAGGAAAAAAAAACAATTTTCATTGTTAAATATAAAAAAATGTAAATCATATGCATATTCAACGTGTTGACCTTATGTAATGTTTAAAATTAATTTCGTTTAATCCACATTTAATATTTAAAATTTATTTCATTAAATCAACTTTAACTGCATTTTTTAAATAGTTTGAAATTAATTTCATTCAATCAAAATTTAACCACATTAAATATTTAAAATTGATTTCATTAAATCAACACTTTAACTTCATTTTTTAAATAGTTTGAAATTAATTTATTAAATTAAACATCTTAACTTAATGGTCTTACATTAATTTTATTAAAATCAGCATTATCATTCATTTCAATATATTAACTTATACTGTTACATCCATTTCTCAAATTTCTGTATTTAAATACTGTACATGTATTAAGAACAATAATAAATATATTGTTTTTCAAAACAATTTTATTAAAATAATTTTACTTTTTCTACAAATACGTTACCTTGAAAATAATTAATTTAATATCATATTATAAAAAAAACTGCTTTATTTGAAAATGAGAATGTTAGATAATTTGGAACATTTTATAGATTAAAATTGTAATTATTTTAGAAAGAGATAGTAATAAATAATGTAATCAATGCTAAAGGAAAGGAACAGTACACAAATGCCATAGCCAAAGACCAATTTCAGAAAGTCATAAATTGAAATTTTAGTTTCTGACAGAGCCGAAGAATTTTTTGATATTACCAGATTGCATTGCATCATTCCATATTTATTTTCATCCTTTCCCATTATAAGTTCGACTTGTGGTGGTGTGAGGCTCATTGTACAACCTTTCCCTGTAGCATGAACTTAAAAGCAGCTATAGGCCAAAACTAAACCATTTTATGCTGTCAATTTTCTCAGTTTTTCACCATGAGCCTTGAAAATTGTCACTCTGTTCATGACAAAAAAAACAAGAGAAGTTGGTCAAGTTATGTGAGAATTTTCTGCACTCCCTTTGTGTGTGTGGATAATTTAATGACAAGATTCAAGATTCCAAACTGGACAACATTTTGGAGGAAGATCAAGAGGGAAAAGAGTAGGCTGTTCAATGCTTCACCAGCAGTTCTTGTCCAATACGACCCCAATTCCTACTCACAGAACTTTGATGATGGCTATTCCAACGACCCTGATAACCTTTCTCGCTCATTCTCAGCCCGATTTGCGGTCCCCTCCAAGATCTTTGACAAGGGTGAAACAGTGTGCAATGGTGAAAAATTATGAGACAACATGCTGTACTTTTTAGTTCTTTCGGTCTCAGTTTTATTTTTCCTATGAACATGATGCGGTTTTACAAAGTTTTGGACATCTTGTTAATCTCCTCGAGATAGATGTTATGGAGATGATACTCTTAAGATGTTTTCACTTCTTTTTTTCTCTGATCTGCTTTTCCTCATCATAGTTTAGTTGATCAAATTTCATTTCAATTTGGAATGATAGGCCATTTTTGAGTCAGGTTGCTGTCAATCCTAGTGCATCAAACTGTCATTGAACAAGTAATCCTAAATTTTTTAGAAGGAACTGAGCTGACGAAATTGCAACATTGCCAATAATTACAATATGGAGTTAAAAAAATTAGAGTTAAACAACAGTATAGTAGTTTATTGATACAATGAACTACCTTGAACTGCATAAAAGAATTGTAGTAATCATCTGTCATGAAATTGTTAAGAAGCACACTAATCTTCAACTGTAGTTTGTATTATTTTCTTTCTGTCATAACTCAACAATATTAAACTGTTGTTTTTCATCCTACAAGGACTGTGCCTTTGTGGTTGAGGACTATAGTCAGTATAGTCTTCATTTCTTCTCTGTGGTCTAATCTTGCAAGAAAAAAGACAAAATAGAATATCACGTTAATCTTTCACAAAATCCCTCCATTGCTGATTATTATGTATAAAGGTTCTGTACTTGCTAGTCTTTCTGGATCACTATGTCTGGCAAAGTAGAAAAGCAGTAACTGCAGGACCCATGTGCGTTGAACATGGACTAGTGTTATTCAAAAACCTCTTTCTTTCCCATGTCTCTCGGTTATTTCTCCTTGCTTTTTTTGCTCCTTCTTTTTTGTTTGGGCATTTTCTTCTGCTAGAAATAAACAGAATTAAACATTTTGAATTGTTATGATGGTACCATTACTACCTGAGTTAATGTTGGAAAGTAGACCAGAAACCACTCCAAGAGAGTAACAAAACAAAAGAAAACAAATAGAAGGAGCAAAAGTTGTTGGTGCATTTGTTTTCTTTTTAAGTTGCAATTCATCATCCCTTTTGTATCACACCATGGATATCACTATCACCTAAGGGTTTCAGACTTGTGCAGCTGGGCTCATGGAATTTAATGATTGTCCTTGTGCTTGCATACCTTGCTATACATATTTTGGACCAAACTGTCCAATGCAATTATTAGTGTCTGCACAGTACAATGCTAGGTCCAAACTAGTGGCAGAACTTCACTTGGATGCTCCATTAATTCACTAGACTTAAGACTCATGACATGCTTCCAAAGAGGTGAAAGCAATTGTTTGTTTATATCTTTTCTGCTGTGCTTCTAATTGGCACACTCAGAAACTTTGGTGCAAGAAAAACACAGAGCTGAAAATATTTATAGCTACCAACACAAATACTGAAAAACAGCCAAACTTCTTGTTTTGGCTCTCATGTGACTGTAGATGGCAGCTTCGGAAGGTCATCCTCCACCAACAATACAATAGTTGGGTTGGCAGCATCACCAGAATTAACATCATTCCTCACATTGTGGAAATAGAAATAGGACCAAACTTTAGCCATCTACTCTATTAGGCTTGTGACCACTCTCTCTGTCACTTGAACCAAACATTCACGGTTTTATGGCATGCTTAAATGCCATGACATTGTGCAAAAAAAAAAATCAAAATTTAACTCATTTTAAGCACAATCAACACGACACTATCCCCAACCCATCATGATAGTTCAATCTAATCCAATTACAATCATATGAATTGGACCAATGATGAAACTGATTTTGATTCGGATTTTATTTAATAGTACACACTCAGTTTATTAGTTTCAAATTCGATGAACCTTATTCAACCCAACTACATAACATGTAGAAAAATGTCCTTTTTTTTTATTAACTTTACTGTATAATTTTTTAGTACCCAACAAGTTTTATTTTTTTATTGAATAAGTATGAAATAAATTAAATATTTTGGTTTATATCACTTATATTACTTACGTCACTTCTATTATAAGATTAATTAAGTATTGTTGTTAAGACATAACTAAATGCTATTATAAAATTACTTGACATCTTTATTTTATGCATTGTTGCTGAGACCTTATCAAATTATTTGTAATAGTTTATTAGTTATAATTTAAGTTATTGAGCGAATAAGTCTATTTTTAGAGTAATTTGATTTGCACCCTTATACAAGTTTCTTTCTTTTATTTTTGAATATTTTAAAGTTAAAGAAAATTATTATATTGCGAGAAACTAATTGAATATTAATGCAATGGAGGAGTATAAGAGAAATTTAAAAGTGCAATTAAATAAAAATAAAGTATTTACCATATAAAACAATAAAAAGTATTAAATATTTATTTTTTTAAATTAGAACTTTAATAAAAGAAATATTAGCTGTGAAATAAAAAAATACGTATAATAATTACATTTATTTAATAGCATAAATCACTGGTGAAAGTCCATAAAATATAAAAACTATGAGTTACAAAGGTGGTCCACAAGCAAGTTTGTGCTTATTCCACGACCAGCACGATTCTTGGTGTGTAACTACGTTTTATCACCTTATTTTATGGGTTTTTTTTTTTAATTACGTTTCAGTTGACCAAAACAATTTATTGACAACAATTATATATTTGTTAAAAAAATATTTTATTTGAAACTTTTAATATTTCATCCCACATAACACATTATTTGACAAGTATGTCTCCAAATAAAAAAGTATTAACATATATTTTAGTTAATATATGTTTAAAAAATATTAATCAAAATGTTCGAGTGTGATATTCATATCCAAGGACAATATTAAAAAAAAATTATTTTAAAGAAAAATAATTAAAAAAATTTACAGGCACAAAAAATATATTATATATATACAATTATATAAAGGTTTTTTTTTATAATTACTTTTTCTTATCATTTATAAAGTTATATTATATTTTATCTATAAATATTTTTTATATAATTATGTTTCGTGTTATCGTGTATAAAATTATATTATCTTTTATTAAATAAAACTTTCAGAATCATCAAATATTAATACTTTCATTAAAAGACATTAGTTTTAAAATTATAAATAATAAAACTTTGTGTAGTTGAACTTTGTTTAACGTTGACGTTGTTTGTATTAAATATAGTTTCAACTCGAACTAAGAACATTAAAAATTCACGAAGAAATGAGTTAAAGACACATAAACGTTACTTATTGCAGCAATAAATTAACCATTAATGCTTATCTGTGAGTTTCTTTTTCTTTTGTAGTTTTGTTTGGCAAAAGTTATAGTTTAGTGATGCATTGACCCAATATAAATATCATGGTTATCTTGACCAGTATCCTCCCCCTAGGCACGTATTGACGAAGAACACCCAAGAAAGAGACAATCACCACACATTGTCCATCATAGTTTGTGGAGGTCCAAAGTCACACAAATGGCAAAAAGATCATGATTATGGTCAAGAAATTATAATACTTTTCAATTGGATTTGGCAAGAAGCATGATTCTCAAGTCTCAACCAAACCAAGTGTGTGCGTTTCACCCAAATTCTCCCCTAACAAAATTCATTTTAATAAATCTAGATTTGACAAGCATATATTTTTGTGTCAAATGCATTGAATAAATTAATTCACCCCTCTTTCCCGTGCCACTTTTATTTATAAACCACAATCCCTTACCTCATTCTCACTCACAATTCATTATTATATGACTGACACATGACTCTGATTTCCATTAAAACTAGCTATAGCGACAAGAACCATGCCAAAGAAAATTCGAGATTACCTCTTCAAAATCAAAAGCCCTCGCCCTCAAATCCGTTTACCCTCCAAGAATTGGATTCTCTCTGGCTGCAAACATCCTAGGACACCTTCCTTTGCCTTGTACAGTGGTAGAAACGAACCTCAAAATCACCGTCATGTTGTTCGTAACACCAACAAAAACAGTTATCACCACAAGGACGATGCAGCCACCTTAGCAGACGTTGACCGTTTCCTCTTCGAGAATTTCAAGTCTCTATACGTCAAAGACGAGGAAGAAACCTTAAACAGCAAAAGGGTCTTCGAAGGTGACGACCAAAAGCACGAGTTGGAAGAAACAACAACGCCACGTGATCTTCGTGGGTCCACTCGCTTCTTCGTGAAGGCAGGGTTTTCGGGGTCACTAGTGGAGGACGCTTTCACAAACACCACCATTAACACAACAACCAGTGATGAAGTAGGATCAGTCTCAACCCTCTACGATGTTTCGTCTTCCAGTTCTTACGAGAAAGAGGGTTTGGATCACGCGCTTCCGGATAACAGCATCGCGCTCTTGACGCACTCCACGACCCCTTATGAGGATTTTAAACGTTCCATGCAAGAAATGGTGAACAGCCATGAAAGGGTGGTTGATTGGGATTTCATGGAGGAGCTCTTGTTTACTTACCTTAATCTCAACCACAAAAAATCGCACAAGTTCATTCTCGGTGCTTTTGTGGATCTCATCACCGTCATGCGTCGGAGTACTTCCGAACCAGCTTCCGACAGGCCACGTAGCGTTCGAACCATTAGGACTGGTCGGGAGTTACGGGATAGGACCAAAAATGTAACTTTAGAATTTGGGTCCTCCTTGTAACTACAATTTCAGTTTCTTCCAAACGTAATAATAACCATTAAATTTAGGTCCAGTGGAGGTTATGCTTCTCAAGAGTTAAGAAAAACTCTTGTTCGAAAAGCATGACAAAAATATTTCATGGGACGAGGTTCAAGAAGACCATGTGTTTGATTTTTGAACAGTTTTTTCGGAGTTGAATTCTCCCCCCGGGCTTCACATGCAGTTGTACCATAAGGATTTTGTGTTTTATTAACAAAAATGTGCACCCTGCTTATTGCTTAAGCATTGTATTTTTGTGGTTTTCAGTGAGATTCGCTTTGTTAAATTGTCTACAGGTGTTCCCTGCTATTGCACTAACAAGTCTTTCTCGCTTTGTATATAAGCTAACTATGGTTCACAACCCGGATGACTTATATTATCTTAATAAGCTTCAAAAATAGGAATCGTGTTTATAATGTAGTTAGATGCAAAACTATAGTTGGAAAAACAATTAACAATAAACGAACACAATATACACACATGCACATAATCGGAAGCCAATTTATAGATCTACTTTAAGATCAAATAATTTCATCAAATTGAGTATGATTGATCAAATTCTCACTAGTTTTATACTTTTACGGTCGCTATCTAGGTTATGATTTTCCTATCTCAAAAGATATCCTTCCCTTTTTGTCTTCAAACGCCACGATAAAGAGGAAAATTAATGCAAAGTTTTCCTAGGAAAAAAAAAGATTTCTGGTAAATATTTAACCCCAAAAAAAATAACTTTTTAAGTTTTTTTTTTTTAAAGAAGGAAAAGAGCACAATATTTAAAAAACTTTAAAAATTGTTCAGCAAATAGAACGGATATAGCTAAGGCGATGTTAAGCTCTATGTTTGATATTTATATTTTGATTAAAAATTAATCATATATCTAAATCCTCGACAAGTTCTATTTGTTTAGAAGACTTATAGCTACGTTATGTGTTGACAAATCCATAAGGGTTAAGTACTCAGAAAAAATAAAAATCAATGTCCCAATGTTAAACTATACTTCGGGGTAGGAGATATAAGATTGGTTTGTTGGTAAGAATCCAATCCAATCAAAGAGAAAATAGATAAATAGTTGAGTTCAAATCTCCAAGGTAATGTAATTGTTTGTCTAAAAATCTAAAATAGCGAAGGAAGATACTAAACAGTAAAAAAATAAAAAGAAATAAGACATAGAAGTCTTGAAGAGAACAGAATAATAAATACAATGAAACAACAGCATCCTTGTACAAGAAAAAGGAAGAATGTTTCAAATGAAATACCACCTTTGAACATCAAAGATCGCACTTTTTTTATTACAAAAAATATAATGCTATTTTAATTGTATTAAAAAAAAAAGTTAGGATGGGAGATTTGCCTTTTTCTTAACTAAAGACGAACATTTACAACCATTTACACGCATTGTTTCAGTAAATGAGCTAAATCCTCTTAGTAGATTTGGATAGTTTAACAAGTTTAAAGTTCAAATCTCATTGTCATTTTGATACATAAGGTTAAATATAATTATATAACATAAGGAAAACATAATTCATATTTTATTAACATCTAATTTATTTTCACTTCATTAAGGTAAAATAAAATTATGAAATTCATTCAATTCTTATATATATTTTTTAAAATGACAAATTCGTCATGTTTTCTCTTTTGAGGTAAAATGACAGTAAATTATTCTGCGTTCAACTACAATATCACCAACTTCACGTACATCTATGTACAAATAAAGCCATGTAAGACTAAAAAATATATATAACTATAGATTGCTAATCTGGCCTTTAAAGAGAATTCACTGACCATTCTTTTGATGAACTGATTCTCAAATATATCATCCGATGATCCACCTAAGCCAACACCAAATCTCGAGAAGTACAAACGCGCCTAATGAACAACCTGTTTGAATTTAATACTCCTGAAGTAGACATTTATGAAATTATTCACTATTAAATTAAGGGTGAAGAGATACCAATCTCTAATTTATATTTTCTTTATGTTTTTCCTCATTCCTAGTCTTGTTATGTCATGTACTAATATTTATTTCTTTCCACGTCTTTAGTAACAATCCAGGAAAGCTGTTAAGACTTAGGAGATCACCTGGTTTTAGCTGAAGAATTATCACATGACAGTCACAAGCAGGTAACCTTCAAGAAGTCTTCACGTGATTAATTTTTTTCTTCAACATAGTGCTCATACAAAGAATGATATTTTGCTGGGATGTAATCCTTGAACCTGTTAATCAAAAGATGACGAATTAAGGTCAAGAGATGATTCAGCATAAAAAATTTCAATATGATCAAAAGACTGAAATATATTTCCTTCAAGTAAAATAAAAGGCATCATGCAAGGAAGTGAGTCTAAGTGGCAATCTCAAGTGCAGGAATTAGTCATTTTCTTTCACATGCCCCGTTTTATACGTTGCATTGAGAATATCAAATGACTTGATTCGTGCATTACATTTACAATTGACAATAATGCTACATGACTTGCAAATAGTTTTAAGTATATATGCTACAACAAGAACTCTCAATAACATAGTGATTAGGAATGAATGGTAACAAGGACATTCGATACCTTTTAAGGAGAGGTAGTCTATCAGGTCCAGAGAACAATCTAGAAATACACTGTAAAACTTCACTAATTTTCATTGCTTTGGTCTTGAGTGCCTTCATATAACCCACAAAGTCTATATATTCGGTAGCACTAAGCTTATCTCGAACCTGTAGGGCACAATTTGTACAAAATAACCTTAGTCCAAACTGGTCATCAATATCAATTTAAAGGAACATTGAATTGTAACACCGTGTTACCCCATAACATAATCCAAACCCAAGTATAGACCTGGAGGGTTGATTACAATAATTGTGAAAATATTGTTAAAATTTAATGCAAACTGACCCAGTATATTTGTACAACAGCAAATAAATTGGAAATAGAAATTGAGTTTAACTATGAAAGAATTATGATAACTTATGTCAACGTTAAGATCAAATCTGATCATGATCTTATATAGCTCCTTTTCTAGTTACATAGTTTATTGGATTTGCTTGCATATTGGCTTTAAACATAAAAATAAATAAATAAATTGGTTCCACTTCTAGTAATTGCCACTTATTACATTTCCTACTTCTGATGCTACATGTAATTTATGTATCACAAATAACAACTTTACCTGAGCAAGGAATGCTGATCCTTGGGTTTCATCACCAACGGAAGGCACAGAATCAGCAGGAAGATTGTGTCTTTGTCTAGTCAACTCAAGACTGTCGGAGGTCACGCCATCTACACCCCGATGTGTGTTTTGACTAGCTATATCATAAATCTACTCATTTACCATAATTAACATAATTACAAACGAAATGAGAGCTTTATGATTCAGAAAATTTGTACCAGATGCTGAATGCTCATTAGAGTTTCCAAAATATTGCTTTAAGTCATATTCTCCTGGTATATATTTCCGCTTCTTCGAAGAACAAGGTGCTATTGGTGTATCCTTTGATTTTCCACCAAGTTGACAACTATCAGCCAAATCAACCCTCTCAGATTCTGCTGATGCAAGAGTCTTCTTTCCAAGCAAAACCTTGCCACATATATCGCTTGAACTATTACAATGTACAGTCTTGCCATTGTCAGATGACAGAGATGAGCGATTGGCAGGTACAATTTCTCCCAGGAATGATGCACAACCTTTTTTAGTATCAAGCAAAGTTGAAGCTTTCAAAGAGAAATTGTGAGCCATTGGTGTAGTCTGCATGTTCAATCATTATTACACTGAACGGCCAAAAATAGCATTATATGATTAAAAAAATAAACGTCATTCATTACAGTGCGAGATCAAGGAGTTACCAGAGGTGACAAAAGTTCTTCCATGTGAAATTGGTCCATGTGCTGCTGCTCTGATGATAGTACTTCTCCTATATTCCCTGCATCAATAATGGTCTAGTTAAATCAAATTAGTAGAAAAACGAAGGAAAAAGAACATAAAAGAAGGAAGCTAATTAAATTTGCATTGATTGAAGACCGCAAACTAAAAAGTTGAGTTCAAATAACCAAAGGAATGAGAAACATTGGGAAAAAGGAAATAACTTTCATGGAATGAGTAACGAAACAATATAAGTATTATTCAAAGTAAGCTGATTTTGAATAAGGCAACGCTTGTTTGATCATGTAACTGCTTTCATGTATCTTCTTACGATCAAATACACAAAATCACATTGTAAGTAACTTGTATTTTACTCATCCTTCACAGGAGGTTGGTTACCCTCACTATGGCTTCAATAAAAATACTCCTACATATTTGTAAAATAACAAAATCCGATTTACTACAAATTCAACTGCTAATTCACAAAAATTAGATAGAAACCATTCCCATTATGCTCAAAAGCAACAAAGTTACAATATTTCAGTGCTAACAGTCAAACATTGAGGTAGAAACCAGAACTGCACACCCTATGACATGACAACCAACCCAATGGAGGACTAGAAGACACTGACCCTCGTTTTTAGCTTCTAACAATGGCACCTTAGTAGGACACTGAGTTCCTACATCTCGAAAAAACCGAGTTAGAGTGAAAACCACTTCTCCAAATCTTGAGAAACACTGCAAGAATGGAAACCATTATTATAAAAAATATGTAATCCAAAGGACAAATTCAGTAAAGAATAGCACCTTAATATGAGGCTGTATCCAACGTGAAACTTGGGACAGACGATGTTGATGTGAAAACCTGCAATAACTCCATTATTAAGAATAACCCTCAGCAAAAATTGGAAAAACAACAAAGGCCAAATTAATAATTACTTAGGTAGTATTATAACAGGATATGGATATTAATAAATAAAAGAAGTATAACTAGGTCCTTGACATGGTTATTAGTTGGCTTTTATACATTGAGATATTTATATTAGATGTTTAGATAAAATGAATGTAGTTCAAATCATATTATCATGACACTAACCAATTTAAATTAATACTTCATTCAGTTAGCTTGAGAGAAACAGCACCACACCCAAAAAAATCAATAGAAATTGTTGGGGCAAAAACAAATCACTGACTTGCAAATTATCCATGTGATAAAAAAACTTGCTCACTAGTAATACATAAAAGAGAGAATAAGAATTAGTAAGAAAAACTCATGCTACTTTGATATGTATTTTGAGGAAATTTAGACTAAAATAACACAAGGTAAAACACCTTTCGTCACAAAAAATAATTGCTCCATAGTCATAGCGATGGCGAATTACACGCCCAACAGCTTGATTCACAGCTCGTGAGGCTTGTTGGTTATACCATTCATCTCCAGTTAAAACCTGCTTCAGTTCCAGACAAATAATTAATTGGTACATACATGTTGCATTAATGTGTACAAATTTTATGTAGGTAAACCAGAATAACCTTGAACAGTTCTCCACGTGGCCGAGATTGTTGATCTAAGTATTCACGTTTTAATCGAACCTGTTAGTGATTAAAAGTGCATTTTTATAACAAACATATGTACATGCATAATTAATACACAATACCAACAGAATTTAGAGTCAAGATGGTAATTGAATGACATAACATACAAATCTTGAAGGTAAGGATGGGGAAAAGATAATCAACCTTAGCATCAGTGCTTGTTGCAAATGGCAAACCTGTAATTACCACAGCTCTTCCGGCGTGATCAGCAAAATCTAATCCTTCGCTTACCTGTTAAAATAACCCATGGCACAAATGCATCTACTTGCATTAGGCATTGTGGTACAATTTCTAAGATAATGCTTTACCTTAATAAACCCTTATCCCTTCATTGTATGGCACTGAATACTTTTATATGATATAAATGGTCTTCTATCCCAGAATCTTGAAATAAATTGCCCTATCCTATAGGTCCCACTGTATACATGTATCATAGCAGTACAGGTAACACTACGCATTACAGTATTTGTATATCATAATATTCAATGAATGAATGCCTGTTAGAACACATCAGAAGGTTGTTTCTCAACATTCATGATTAAGCCATACCTTCCCACGACATACAGCAAAAAAAACTGCTCCAGAGGCTGAGGTGTCATTCAACTTAGTCATGTAGTCCTGTCCAGAGAAACATAAAGGTCAGGTCCATCTTAGGATATAATACATCCAAATGCTTCTTATGGAAGAATGTGTTTTCACCATGTTAGTATGTTCCATAAAAGTGTTACCTTAATTGACAAGGGAAATGATGAAGACTCCCTAGGTTCTATAACAGGTTTCTTGTGTTTGCAAATTCTTTCCCATATTGACGTTGAATTTTCATTACTCTGAAAATAACAAACCAATGTATCATACGCTTGACCAAACAAATTTATCTTTTCATTAGGTTTGAATGAATCTTACCACACTTTTCCAGCAACCAATGATTTGGTCCAACAGGTAGTACGATGGGAAGAATACAAGAAGTCCATCAGGTACAATTCGGGCCAAATTTACTGGAATACAACATAGAAATGAAATTAAGGACAATAAATAACAATGCCCAATTGTTCTTTTCTTCTAATTCTGATGAAGTATGCAAGCTAGTTATTCCAAATTCAGTAGGCTCTGGGATCCCTTATGATATGAAATATAGATTTTTCTTCAGTTTTTATGAAATTATACCAGACACAAATGAAGTCATGAATTTAAATTATACAATAGTAACTTTTGAAATCTTCATTATGCTTCCTCCCTTAGGTCTCTCATGCTATCATTATGCCTGTCACACCAATCTAACCAATGCTCATTCCTCAAACACCCACATCTATCTCCAAGCCCAACTCAATAACTAGATAAGGGCATAAACTATCATATCATGACATTGACAACTTAAACTCTACTCAGTCAATACTCGTATATAGGACTAGTTAGACAAGTCCATCTCTAAAATGTGAATTATACCACATACCTTTCAGGGAAAGATGCACATACCAAACCATAAGAAATCCTGCATTGTATCTGAAGTCTAAATATGTTTGATTCATAAAAATATTGATTTTAAACCACTCCAAAAACTGGAATAGGCTAGAGTGTAAAAACAGGATCAAGCTGTAACAAAAATGAAATGCTCCATTCTCTAGTGAAGCTTTCATTACCAAAAACAGTGCAACTCCATTTTTTTAAACTAGAAATGCAGTAATCAAAATGGCGAGACAAATATTACAATCAACTTCATTTTGCCAAATTCAAAATAGCCATAAGCAGGTCAAAAATACCAATTGCATTTCCAAGATCCTGCTTGTACTCTAGTGAATCACGAGTGCGGTAAGAGGAGTTAAAAGTATGCCCTGAAGGACCAACTGGGACAACTCCTGCCCATATCTGATTTGGGGTTATTACATGTGGATTTTCCAGCCGGATGGGGAAGTCTCTGAGATTACCAGAATCAACTCTTTTTGTTAATGAGACAATTAGATGAAAACACAATTAGCAAGAAAGGAACTTACAATTTCAGTTCCTCCGCAAAAGATTCCATAGGGGATAATGTGCCCGAAGTCAGTATAATAGATCTAACCCCATACTTACGAAAGTCTTCCATGGCTATTCCTGGATTAAAGCACCACCAGCTGAGTGTTCTTGACACCTTGCCTGCAGAGCATCAAAACAAGAAATATTAGTCTAATTGTGAATGTAAGGGACAGAGACATCCAAAATTAAAAAACATTGTACAGATCTAATGCAAACAAGCTAGATTGTCCGTATAACATTTACAGGAGACCAAAGTTCAACATGAAGATTTCCTCCTTGAGGTGCCTATCGCTTGTATCATGTAAACAAATAGACCCATGTTAAATTTATAAATGATAACTGCTCTGCTCTTCACACTCCAACCCCCGCCCCCCTCTCAAAAAAAGCCCCTGGCCTAAATGTTATAATGAGTTTAGAATAGAGGAATAAGTTCAAGAGAAAATTACTCAAAGCTTTCAAAATCAGCCATATGTTTTTAACATGAAAATATATTTTGCATAAAAAATATAAAAACATTCATTTTCTAATTTATAAAAAATATATATCAATAATTTGCATAAAGTCACCAATAAATATATAAATTACATTCCAAGAATTGATGCAAGTATATGCAACTTAATAACACCCTCCCCCTCAACTGATGTCTATCAAAATAGGAGACTTTATCACAGTAGTTGTTTTACCAAGATGAACAATAAGCTTTGATACCATGTCAAATTCATCTTAAAAACCAATTGCTATTAAGCGAAGGTGTTCCATATATATATAAGTTATATTTGAAGAATTAAAAATATGGATCTTCCCAACAATAATGGATAAAATAATTGAATATAAAATTGTCACAAAAGAATCGTAAATTGTAATGACATGTCCACATAATTTATCAATCATTCTTCAACATATTAAATAAAACTGTTAAGTTTTTAAGTCATCGTAAGTAAATGTTGGAAAATTGAGTAATTGACATAATGACAAAGTTGATGGACAGGAAAAATAAATGGTGTAAGTTTAAAAAAAATAAGATTATTTCAATACATTGAGAAATCTCGTTCATTCAAATAAGTCTAAATTTACCTTTAGAGTCATTGCCAGCCCACGCCTCAACCTCCCGCACATGAACCTTTCATGTAAAGGGAAATAAAATAAAGCATAAGAAAGGCAAAAATATAAAGAAAAATGAGTTATTATAAAATGACAAGACAAACAACAACCATCCAGTGAAGTGTAAAGGATACAATGAAGTCCAATATACTTACACGATAATATTTAGCATGAGCAGTTCTTCCATCCCTGAACACAATTTCAAGAATTTCACCTAGTCTATCCAACCTGCAGACCGTGCCAGTTGATTTCTCCTGATTATGTTCCTCAAGAAGGGTTGAAGCTACACCAATTATACTGGTAAGCTTAGAAGCAGTTTTGTGTGTGATGTTAAGATCAGCCAGCAGTTCATAGATATAAGGCCCAGGTTTGGTGAAACCCAACTCCTTAGATTCAATAGGCACCTCAGAAATACACTTTTCAAGTTTTAGAAGAAGTGCTGCAAGAAAGAAAATATCAAACTGTACATGAGATACCAAAAAATGTATGGCTTACTATTTTCAGAGTACCCAGACCAGATTCTGAAAAGAAAATAAAAAAAATTGATGTGCCCAAAAATCCAGTATTCAAACACAATTAATATTGGATATCATTATATTTTGTCAGTGAAATTGGAACTTGTACTGGCATTCAGTAAGATTAAGCTAACCTCTAAGGATAGCAAAATCATCTGGATTTTGTGAATTATCATTTGTTTTATCTCTTCTTTTTATTGAAAGGTCTATACAACTTTCTGCCTCTTTAATGCAAGCAGTTATAAGCCAAGAAGGCAAATCAAAGGAGGCTGCTTCTGCGCATATGCTTTCCTGCAAATAAATACACAAATTAAATAGCTTGAATAAATTTCAATAAAACATAATAGCAGAGCAGTGAAAAGGACAACAGGTCAATGCATAAATCTTAGTTTCCGACAAATTTGTAATGTCTTCTTACCAGGTTGTGAGCTTCATCAAATATGAGTATACTATTGCTCCAAGAGAGTTGCAGAGAATTTCTATATCCACGATCTATAAGATAGTTATATGGAGCAAATACTATATCAACAACCTTGTGGAGCTCCTTTGATAAATAATACGGACACCTGAAATAAGCAGACACAAAGTAAGACAGAATTTGTTCACTTGGATAGAGCAGAGAAGGAGCAAGGAGGCAAAAATAAATTGCCCATTAAGATGATAAATTATAGTTCCAGCCAGCACAGCTGAGAAAACATACGGCCCAAATCTTCTACCAATATTGACCAAATCCTCAATATCTACAGGTTCTTCTCCAAGATGGGAATTGTTCTTCAGGTAATCTGCAACAAAATTTTAGCCACATTCATAAGATAAGTCATAATGATATGATTTAATAAATAATTCACAAATAATATGCAGATTTCAGTAACCTCCATAAACATTGCATCATATTCTTACACACACATGAAATCATTTGATCTCACATATAATTATAACTAGTCCACGAGGGTGAAATTATATCATGAGAATGATCAATTTGGTCATAAAAGTGTGTGGAAGTCTTCAAGTAGTACCTAAATATTAATAAACAAAAAGTAACTTTTGTCTCATTCTTCATTTCAAATAGGTCCAAATATGGTATCATTAAAATGAAGCTAGTTAATGCAGATATGGACTAAAAAATATTACGTTTTAATGATAACATAAACACTATATATAATTTAAAAATATTTCAAGGTCTAACTTGAACCCATCATACAATTTCATGGACCAAATATATCATTCTACCTTTTTGAATCAATAAGGTACTAGATGTCTGTATGAAATAATTAGCCACAAATAGCCTTTTATAATTTGGACATAGCATCTAACTTAACCCCCACAAAACCAACTTATAAGCTAAGGATTGTCCAAGCTGTATAGCCACTGCTTAGGCCTTATTTCTTGTGGGACTATATCCACTTCTTCACACCCATCATGATGAAGCATATGAGGCAACAAATAGCCAACAGTGTCAACGACTAAGGCAGGTAACATAGCATATCAAAGTGACAACAGCAAAATAAAATAATAATAATAATAATAGTGATATAAAACCTGGTATGTTGTAATTGTATGCTAGTTCATCATTTAAATTGTGGCACTCCATGGTACTAAGCATGATTGTGGAACATGTATGACAACATTCATTCAGTCATATAATATACATGATACACATAAACGCATAGAAAAATCTTTTTTTCCAAAATTACCTGTAACTCGATGAAAATGGCTACAGTTACGTTTCCCACCCCTTCGACAGAGTGCTCGACAAGCATTTGTTTGTGTTTTTCCCCGAAGTAACTTCACTTCATCATGAATGCAGAGTTGCTCCCGAGATCCCAGGACTCCCATCTTAGGCCTGCATACTCATTAATATCATGTAAGCTTAGGCCCAAGATACTCACATAATTGTAAAAACAACAGACTTTAAGATTTATTTGGTTCAGCAAAAGTAGTGGACGCAAAATATCAACCACAATAGTCCACAGAATCCATTTTTTCTCTCTGGACCACAATCACCAACTTGATAGGAAATAAAAACTCTGGGTAAGTACAAGTGTGACATTGACCCTATCAATTACAATCAACACTGACAAGTCAATACCGACAAACCACTAAACAAAAACCTTCCTAGTTATATAGAATGACCTGTAAGACGTTCTTTTCAATTCTTGAATTACTTGACGGATCTGGCTGTGAGTGCGTGAAGCATATACAATTGTAGAAAATCCTGAGGACTCAGATTGTGACAATGACACCTCATTTTTACCCTCTGATTTGTCGCCTGTCAGCATGCTCACACCAGTTGTGAAACTACCCAAACTCTTCCGCCATGCTAAGGTAGCACAGAGAAGACAGAGCGTTTTTCCAGTTCCTGTGGGACTCTCCAATAGTGCATTACGTTTCTGCCATACCAAAACACATAGCACAATACATTGACTATTACTAATAATCAATCACATTCTTGATGGTAAACACATGATAGAAAACAGATGCCATAGGTGAATCTTAATAGTAAGACATTGAGCACTTGAAAACAAAACCAAAGTAAACAGCAGCAGATAATATCTTCGAATCTAAAATGCACCAAAACTTCTAAATAGTAGCAATGTCATGTCATAGCACTCCCACATACATATCCATGTCAAATATTCCAGACAATTCAATATTTTTAATTGCATTTTTCTAGTTTTCATACTTTTATTTTTAGAACACCGTAATACTATATTATATTATGTTCATATTTATGTTTGGTCACAATTATTTGAAAGTGTCAAAACATATTTAAATTTGCTGTGCTTCCTATCTTCGAAGGGGTTATTGTCCTCAACAAGAAGCTATGATATACTATAGCATTTGACTTGATGGAAAACCGTGGATTAAGTGAAGATATACTAACATATGACAGAACCACGTCATTATCAAATTATCAAGTAACATGTAATAACATTAACATTCTGGTATCACTTTCAATTTATCCAAAAGCAAGTTTATAAAGACAACGGCAGCACATAACCACTCTCACCAATTCGCAAGTGAAATCTGCAACAACTGTAAATATTATTCCCGTGTTTCAAAAAATATTACAACTCACTGAAATAGATTATAAATTGTTACCAACAGGGTTGGGTGTAACGAAAGCGACAACTCTTCTATCACATGGTGAATCGAAATTTGAATCCCCATTAATAAAGAACCCACATTAGTGCCCCACTGCAACTCGAAAAATGTTACCTCCAGAGAATAATGCATGGGGGAAACCAAGTAAAAAGTATTTTAAAGCATTACCTCCTGAAGTGATTGAATGACTTTGTCCATGTAATCGAGCTGGGAATCATAGGCTTCGTACGGAAAATCTATGTCGATTCCCCTTATCTTGTACGTCGGCATTTCTTCGCTTCCACTCTATTCCGGCAAGAAAATCAGAAAACACTTCCCTGGGGTTCTTTTGGTTTGAACTTCTAACACACGAAAGAACCCTAACATGAGAAGCCACTGCTGACCAGTCCAGTCATAGAATGGGATTATTTTCCCGCCAACTCAACCGATTTCTTCTGTACGACGTCGTAATGGAGTCCCTGCCCACTATTTTATTAAATAATAATTAGGATTATAATTTAAAAAGTTATTTAAGAATAATAATAAGAGAAAATGGTCCATTGAATTAGGTACGAGACTTCATCAATTAAATTGAAAAATCATATTTAATATAATAGATGGTTTTTCAGAAATTAATAACACTTAATTATAACATTAATCATTTTTTCTTATTTTGCATATTTTATTGTGTTTTTATTATTTTAATAAATTAAAATTTAATGTATATGATGATTTTAAAATAATAAATTATTAGATGTTAGATAAAAACTCAGGAAAGTAAAATTTAAGATGCATAATAAATTTAAAATATAAATATTATTATATGTAACAAATGATCAGGTATGTAAAAAATCATTAGATATTAAATAAAAATTAACGTGATTTGAGAAATAATCGAGATAAATAATATTTGATAATTATTTTTATTTATTTATTTATTTATATTTAAAATTTTTAAAATAAGATACTATTGAAATAGTGGAAAAAATAATATTTTTCATTAATTTCATTTATTTTATGAGATAAATTAAAAATAATAATAATAACAAAAAAAAGATAAATACTACATTAAACAATAAGAAAAACGGTTGCAAGACAGAATCTATTTATACACAATTATAAATTATCTATTATATTGTAAAATAATAATAATATTATTATTATTATTAAAATAAAAAATATATATGTCAATAACAATGTATTTAATCACACATGATTGCATTTCTCTCATTGGTGTATATCATTACATGTTTCACCTCATATTAAACAAATTCAAATAGATCAAAATAATTCGAGTACCAAACAAATTAATCCATTAAAACAATAATTTTATTTAAAATCTTCACTGGGTAGTAATTTACGCATGTACAATATTAACTTAAATCAAACCTCCTTAAATAAATAAAAAATCCTTCAATCTAAAAAATATATTATTGTTATTATAAAAAAGACTCGGAAAAATAGGTAGATTAAACAAATTATATTATTAATTTTGTGATAAATAACACTAATGAAACTGTCAAGTCATTGCATGGATAATTAAATTTAAAAATTATGCATTTCAATGAGAAAGCCTTGATAATAGAAACCACTCAAGTATATTGACAATAGAGATGGATAATGATAAAATATTTAACATGTTATATTCACACTCAAATATTTAGTTATAAAAATAATAAAGACAAATATAAGATATATTTTTATGAATAAATAATCAAATCATAATTAAAACCCACGAAGAGGTTATGATTTTAAGGATATGGATAATAAATTTATATGCTCAAGTGTAATCTTTATAAGACATGAAAAGAAGATCAATAAGAGGATAAGGATGGTATAAGATCATTGAATTGGAAACTCTAATTTATGTCACATTATTATGTTAAAGTAGACAGAACTAAGATATGATTTATTTTTTTCTTAGATTTGTTTATAACTTATACACATATAATTAATTTCTTATTAGTTTTTTAACTAGATAAATAATTACCTGTCAAATTATTAATTCATTAGAAATTTTACAATGATTAGATTGTTATCTTTAAATATTAATTTATTTATATCTTTACATGTACTGTTTTTAAATATTAAAATACAACCAAAATATACATGTACATGTACTCATATGAATATGAATATTGCACAAGGTGTCACATTAATTAAATATTTATTTCTTAGGTTTCACAGTCATAAAAAAACATTAATGTGATGATATAAGAAACACTATTATCACAGTCTCATCTATTAAAAAAACTAAAAACTAATAAAAGATTTTAAATAACATAACTATAACAAAATAAAAATGTGTAACTTATTAAATTTGTAGAAATATCAGATTATAAGCAAAATTAAGTTTTTATATTTATATTTATTGTTGTTGTTTTTTTTTTGCATGTACTATGTAAGGTGAGAATGAAGGAGATTTTTTTTCTATTAACCAACAAAAAAAAGAATTCCAATTAAACTAATGTAATTATTATTTTTAGTTTTGTTTAAAGGTTATAACTTTCTTTTATTTTTAATGTTAGCCATATAAAGTGGTTAATGAAATTACATAGTGAGACTGAGTGGACTAATTCTGACAATAAAAAAGGGTAGAATAAGCCCAAGAAGGCCCAGCAGCAAGAAGCCCAAGTGGAGGGTTTCAAAACGCAAAAAGAAGCATGAAGAGATCCGAGTAGTAGATGTTTCTAGAAGGTGAGAGGATTCTCCAGACATCTCTGGGGCCAATAGAGTGGAGCACATCTTTTGTTTCCAAAAACTGGCAATTTAACAAGTGCAAAGGTCACAAACACAAATATTAAACACAAACCCAAATTCCACAGAGCCCCAAGTCGATGCTATAACTTAAGAGTCCCTCTAGTCTAGCCCTCTCTTTATTACGATTGTTCCAGAACCTTGCAAAACCCTTTTCTCATCCTTCCTCTCTCTTCGATCGCCTCATCTGGTAAACCCTATTTCCTCTAACCTTAGATTTACGTTCCTTTAGCATCCTCTTGGCATAGATCTGTGCCTTCTCTGTCGTATATTCAGGCATTTTCTTTACAATTAAGATTCCTGTTGTCTGCTGCATCTGATAAAAGAAGTCTTTTGGTGTATTCAGACTTTTAGTTTTGTTTTGCACTTGATGTAACGGTACTTATATTTATGCATGTTAAACTATAATTTTGAGAGATAGAATTGGATGATTTGATCTCCAACGCGTAGTTTTTCATGCAACATGAGATTTCTCTTTTAAATCTAGAGAAAATGTTTTAGATTGCTCTTTTAATGATGAATGTTATGCTATGACTGTTGAGTTTACTTGAATAACTGTTGTATTTGATTGTTTCTGCTATATGAGTTGGTACACTAGACATTGCTTAGGCGATGATAATACTTGTCATCGAAGTTTTTTTTTTCTTTCATTTTTTTATCATGTGGGCAGCAAATTAGAATTTATGCCCCAGATGTAGATGTGACATATAATTTTTCTTGTTTTGCTTCGTTAGGTATTGTTTTTGACACAGATCAAGCAAAAATGAGCGTGGTCGGGTTTGATTTCGGTAATGAGAGCTGTATTGTTGCTGTTGCAAGGCAGAGGGGGATCGATGTGGTACTCAATGATGAGTCCAAGCGTGAAACACCTGCAATTGTATGTTTTGGTGACAAACAACGGTTCCTTGGGACAGCTGGGGCTGCATCTACTATGATGAATCCAAAGAATTCAATCTCACAAATAAAGAGGTTAATTGGTAGACAATTTGCTGATCCAGAACTGCAGCGAGATCTGAAGACATTCCCTTTTGCTGTCACTGAAGGGCCTGATGGATATCCATTGATTCATGCGCGGTACTTGGGTGAAGTTAAAACATTTACCCCTACACAAGTGTTCGGAATGATGTTATCAAACCTTAAAGAAATAGCTGAGAAGAATCTGAATGCTGCTGTTGTTGATTGCTGCATTGGAATTCCACTTTACTTTACTGATCTGCAGCGGAGGGCAGTTTTGGATGCTGCCACTATTGCGGGTTTGCACCCACTTCGCCTGTTTCATGAAACAACAGCAACTGCATTGGCTTATGGAATCTATAAGACCGACCTTCCTGAAAATGATCAGCTGAATGTTGCCTTTGTTGATGTTGGGCATGCTAGCATGCAAGTGTGCATTGCTGGATTTAAAAAGGGGCAGCTGAAAGTGTTGTCCCAGTCATATGATAGGTCCCTAGGTGGGAGGGACTTCGACGAGGTTCTGTTCAATCATTTTGCTGCAAAGTTTAAGGAGGAGTACAAAATTGATGTATATCAAAACGCCAGGGCTTGTCTAAGGTTGAGGGCTGCATGTGAGAAGCTGAAGAAGGTGCTTAGTGCTAATCCAGAGGCACCTTTGAACATTGAGTGCTTAATGGAAGAGAAAGATGTCAGAAGCTTTATCAAGCGGGATGAGTTTGAGCAACTAAGTCTTCCAATTTTGGAACGAGTGAAAGGACCTCTGGAGAAGGCACTTGCAGAGGCAGGTCTTACAGTTGAAAATGTTCACATGGTTGAGGTGGTTGGTTCTGGATCTCGTGTACCAGCTGTAAACAAAATATTGGCAGAGTTCTTCAAAAAGGAGCCTAGGCGGACAATGAATGCAAGTGAGTGTGTTGCCAGGGGTTGTGCATTGCAGTGTGCAATTCTCAGTCCGACTTTTAAAGTTCGGGAGTTTCAGGTAAATTTCTGCCCATAGTATTTTTCTTTGGTTCAAAAGGCCCTTTGACAATGTTTCTTAAATTTTCAAATAAGACTGTTTAATCTCCAGAATCATGGTTTCAGCATTTGTGTGTTTCGGGTACATGCCATGTACTTTGATTTATCTATTTATTTTTTTCTGGTATTTCCCTTTACATAGATTATGTTAGGATTTTGAATTTCATGTTAAATTATGCTTGGCAATTATTAGTTTGTTAGGGCGAATTGTTTGTTCATCTGTTGTATTATATTTTATATAATTGTGATATTCTGTTTCTTGATATGAAGGTCAACGAAAGCTTTCCTTTCTCAATTTCACTCTCGTGGAAAGGTGCAAGTTCTGATGCACAGGATAGTGGACCAGATAATGTACAAAGTACCCTTGTTTTCCCCAAGGGAAATCCCATACCAAGTGTGAAGGCATTGACAATCTACAGGCGAGGAACCTTTTCTATTGATGTTCAATATGATGATGTGAGTGGTTTGCAAACACCTGCAAAGATCAGCACATACACTGTAAGTTGGTTTTTAAGTTTATATTTACATGCACACACATAAAACAATCTTTTGGCAGTCATTTGACTCCCAAGTGCACTTATATATGCAAAGATCTGCACATGTACTGTAAGTCTGTCTTAAAAGGTTTTTATGCACGCACAAAACCCATTCTTTTGGCAATCATTTTGAATTCCCAAGTGTACTTAAATGTATGCAGATTGGCCCTTTTCAATCAACAAAAAGTGAAAAAGCAAAAATTAAAGTGAAAGTTAGGTTGAATCTGCATGGAGTTGTATCTATCGAATCTGCAACTGTAAGTCTCTCTAGGCTTGGATTTTACTTTTATTATTTCTCTGCCATACATGTGAGTTTATTACGGAAGTAAACAATGTAGTCTCTGTTTCTAATTTGTTATTTTCACTCCCTTAAGCTCTTGGAAGAGGAGGAAATTGAGGTTCCTGTTTCCAAAGAATCAGCAGAAGATACCAAGATGGAAACTGATGAAGCTCCTGCTGATACTCCTGCACCTCCTAGCACCAATGACAATGATGTCAACATGCAAGATGCTAATGCCAATGCAGGTTCTGATGTCCCTGGGGCTGAAAATGGTATTCCTGAGGCAGGAGATAAGCCTGTGCAAATGGATACTGATACCAAGGTAAATGGTCAAAGGAATATTTAACCATATGACGTGAATGTATTTGTGTACTTGTTCAATTTGAAAATGTGACAATTCTATATTTGGTATTTAGAACTTGTTATGTTATTAGATCTGAAATGAGTTATAATAACTAGTACATTTGATGTCTGAGATGAAAGTGTGACTGATTAAGTATTCTTGACACTAATCTGAAAAGTAGAAAGTATAGTTTTCAAAACAAGAAAATAAATCAAGCTGACCTAATTCATCCCCTTCCTATAAATATTTGCTGAAATATGGTTTTCCGTGTAAATTATTGTATGCCTTTTGGATCATGTACAACAGTTAGGTTGTCAAACGTGGTCTGTTATAGGTGGTAAGTTAACTGCCTTTACTTGATACAGGCCGAGGCTCCAAAGAAAAAAGTTAAGAAAATAAATATTCCTGTCGTGGAGTTAGTTTACGGAGCAATGTCACCTGCCGATGTTCAGAAAGCTGTCGAGAAGGAGTTTGAAATGGCGTTGCAAGATCGAGTGATGGAGGAAACAAAAGACAAGAAAAATGCTGTAGAGGCTTATGTTTATGACATGAGAAACAAGGTGAGAGTTGACATGATTTTCTTGTTATTTGATGTTTGATTATTTTATTATTACTAAACTAATTTTTTGTTGTCATTTCAGCTTAATGACAAATACCATGAGTTTGTCATTGATTCAGAGAGGGAAGCATTTACTGCTAAGCTTCAGGAGGTGGAAGACTGGCTATATGAGGATGGTGAAGATGAAACTAAAGGTGTATACATTGCCAAACTAGAAGAGCTCAAGAAGGTAAGAAATTTTGGGATTAGAAAATCTCTGACCCTAATTATGGTATTTATGGTAAGGCCTTTTAGAGAGTACTTTCCAATGATGGAATGAATCGAGAGGTACTCTCTGTTGGTTTATCTTGTAAGCATAAACGTGGACGAAAAAGATATATTTGTTTTAGTTTTTGCAATCTGAATGGATATTTACTTGATTTCAGCAAGGTGATCCAATTGAAGAGCGTTACAAAGAATCCATGGAGAGGGGTTCAGTAATTGATACTCTCGTCTATTGTATAAATAGTTACAGAGATGCTGCAATGTCAAATGAACCCAAATTTGATCACATCGACATCGATGAGAAACAGAAGGTAATTGTTTGCCACTGACTCTTATTCTAATTTTTTTATTTGCTATTGAGCTGAAAGTTTTTTCCATTTTATCTGTTTTTGTAGGTCCTAAATGAATGTGTGGAAGCTGAGAACTGGCTCAGGGAGAAAAAACATCAGCAGGACTCGCTTCCAAAATATGCTTCCCCTGTACTTTTGTCAGCTGATATAAGAAAGAAAGCTGAAGCTGTTGACAGGTATTTGCTTTTGTTCTTTAGATTTAGGTCTCATTTCTGTAGCTTGTTTCTTAACCTTGCTCATTGTTCCATCTATTTCATTAAAAGGTTCTGTAAGCCAATTATGACAAAACCAAAGCCACCACCACCAAAGCCAACCACTCCAGAAGCACCAGCAACCCCACCTCCTCAGGCCAGTGAGCAGCAACAGCAACAGCAACAAACACCACCTAAGGAGAATCCTAATGCCAGTAGTAATGAAAATGCAGGGGACAATGGTAGTACAGCCCCGCCACCGGCATCTGGTGAACCAATGGAGACTGAGAAATCAGAGAACACAGGCTCTGCTTAATTTTTGTTGGTTTTGCCTGATCTTTTTCTATATAATACGTACGACAATATGAATTATTCCTGGAAAAGTAGGTATGAATGAGTTGATGCTGGAAAATTTGGTAATGGGTGAATTTATGGTCATTGACCGGGTTTTGTTTTTTGTCAAACTCTTACGATCTCTAGGATTTTTAGATTATTTGTGTACCATTTTCTAAAGTGGCATTATACAATGCATGTTTTCATTCAGATTAAATGCTCCGATTTTCCTTTACATGCTGTACCAATTACGTTTTGTGATTTGTCTTCCATTTCTTTCACAATTTGAATTTAGCGAAATGCCACTGAACGTTTCGCTTCCTATATGGAGAAAGTCGTTATCAAATAATTTAATTTAAATACTCGTTAAGATGACATTATTTTTGACATGGAAGTATCGAGTTTATTTCTTGTGAAGTTTTTTTATGTGCGATTTAATATTATGTCAAATGTATGTAGAATTTGATACATTATTTATATTGAAAATTTCGTGAAATGTCCACTCTATTAAATGTTTTAGTGTTTTTCTTTCTAATGTTGCTTTATTTTAGTATCCCATTTACTTGTAGTAGATGTTACCTTTTGGTTATTTGAAGTGTAATTTCATTTCCGTTTGGATGACGATTACCTATCGAAACAGTAAGATTGACCAATTGATTACCTAGTTTTGCATTTTAATATCGAATATTACTCTAGTTTTAAATATTTATATGAAAAGAGAGGAGAAAGAAAATGCATCCATGTGGGAAAAAATATTATAAAGAATTTCACATTTTTTTTCTAGATTTTTATATAAATAATATAGCTGTTCTCTTAAATTTTATTGGATAATTTCTTCTAAAATCCTTTCTCTAAACCATATATATTTCACTAAAAAAAAGAATTAATTCTCTAAAAATTAGTTGCCCTCTAAAACTTTTCACCCAATCGTATAACAAACAAATTTTTAATAGATTGCAAAATATATTTATTTAGTTAGGGAATGATACGAGGAGTATTTATACTTACGACTACTTCTATACCTTAATTATAAATTTAAAGGAGTTTGGAGAGAGTAGTATTTCATAATTTATATTTATTTTTGGTTAAACACCTATTATAGTTTCTATATATGTTAAAATAAATAGTTAGTACATTTTATATATATATATATATATATATATATGTGTGTGTGTGTGTGTGTGTGTGTGTGTGTGTGTGTGTAATTATTGACTTGGTTTTAGTTTTATTTATTTTTTGTCACGTGCAATCTCTTGTAGGATTAAACTAAGATGTGATACACAAGGATAAAATAAAATTTGTTCATTGTCTCTCTCTCAAGTCATACTTCCTTTCATATATTTTTTTTATTGTTTTCCTCTCGTTGCTTTACCATGCTTGAACAAAGTTAGACATTTAATTTAATAAAAAAAAATATATAACTAAAGTTGAAAATTGACGAAGACACAAACATAGGATAACTAATATTGCAGAGATATAATATAGTTAAGTTTTAGAATTTGAATTTTATGATAAATGTATATAATGTTTACAAAATGGGGAAAACGGAATCGACAAAATTGAAGTCACAAATCTGAAGGATAATCACTGGTAGATTATTAATTTTTTTTTCTGTCAAAAGAGAATTAAATCAGAGGGAGAAAGAGATGAATAATGGGGCATGAGATTAAACAAACAAAGCACAACGTGAAGGGGTGTAAGTAGTAATAAGTTTCTTGCCAACCAAATCAAACGGGCTTAATAAGGACTTTAAATTTAGAAGCCCAGCCCAGCCCATCCCGGCTGATGAACACAGACCCAGTTGGTTTTTTTTTCCTTCTTCTTTCGGTATTTGCCTTCGTTTTTTTACTTCTTTCGGCTATTTGCGTTTGTCTACTTTGTGAAGTATGAAAATTGATAAAAAAAAAAAAACGAAAGGGAAGAGATAGAGAGGTTGAACATAAATCTACTTTTATGTTGAAAGAACGAAAGAGAAGGTTGCGACGGATCTCATTGATTGAATTTTGAAAAACAGCATTTTCAGTTCATGCTTTGCTGCCCGGTTCGCAGGAAATAAGATGAGAGAAAAATTCGTCAGGTTTATTTGCAGGTAAGCTAGTTTTTTTGGCGTAGTACATAGCTCGAGGCAATCCAACGATGCTTGCTGGGTCCATTGCTACAACGAGGAGGGGGATATCAACTTCTCGTGCTTTCTCTCAGAGATTAAAGCAAACAGGTTCTACTCACTTGCTCACTCAACTTTTTATTCTCTTTGTTTAATTTAATATTATTACTTGCGACCCCTGACTTTGTTTGATTTGAATTCACGCAATGCAACTTTTGACCATATCTGATTTTGGTGCTTTTTATTAAATTAGCAGAAAATGAAATTGTTCAAATGTTTCGGTTGCCTAATCCCCATGAAGGAAACCACCATAATGTTCCCTTGAAAGGAGGATATGTGTCGAGGAAGGAACCTTTTTCTCGGACATTGGATGAAAGGTTTATTAGGATTTTGAAAATATTTAAATGGGGACCTGATGCAGAAAAGGCCTTGGAAGTGCTGAAACTGAAGGTCGATGCTCGCTTGGTTCGCGAGATTCTAAAGGTGGATGTAGAGGTCAGTGTTAAGATTCAGTTTTTTAAGTGGGCTGGGAAGAGGAGGAGTTTTGAACATGATTCAACCACTTACATGGCGTTGATTCGCTGCTTGGATGAACATAGGATGTTTGGTGAAGTGTGGAAGATAATACAAGACATGGTTAAGGGTTCATGTGCAATGGGTCCTGCTGAATTGTCTGAAATTGTGAAGATCCTGGGCAGGGTCAAGATGGTTAACAGGGCGTTATCTGTCTTTTACCAGGTTAAGGGTCGCAAGTGCAAACCAACAGCGAGCACTTACAACTCTGTCATCTTGATGCTGATGCAAGAGGGGCATCATGAAAAGGTCCATGAGTTATATAATGAAATGTGTAGGGAAGGCCATTGTTTTCCTGACACTGTTACATATAGTGCACTTATATCAGCATTTGCTAAACTAAATCGTGATGATTCTGCCATTAGATTATTTGATGAGATGAAGGAAAATGGATTGCAGCCCACTGCGAAAATTTATACAACCTTAATGGGAATATATTTTAAGTTGGGTAGGGTTGAAGAAGCTTCGGGCCTAGTCAAGGAGATGAGAATGCGGCGGTGCCTCCCAACTGTCTTTACTTACACAGAATTGATCAGGGGGCTAGGGAAGTCTGGGAGGGTTGAAGAAGCATATATGACTTACAAGAATATGCTGAAAGATGGTTGTAAACCTGATGTCGTTCTGATGAATAATATTATTAATATTTTGGGAAGATCAGATCGCTTGAGGGATGCTATTAAGCTTTTTGATGAAATGAAATTGCTGAATTGTGCTCCTAATGTTGTGACGTATAATACCATCATTAAATCTTTATTCGAGGCCAAAGCGGCACCGTCTGAAGCTTCTTCATGGTTTGAGAGGATGAAGAAAGATGGAATAGTCCCCAGCTCATTTACTTATTCAATTCTCATCGATGGTTTCTGCAAAACAAATCGAGTTGAGAAGGCTTTGTTGCTTCTTGAGGAGATGGATGAAAAAGGCTTTCCTCCTTGCCCTGCTGCCTACTGCAGCCTGATCAATACCCTCGGAGTAGCGAAGCGCTATGATGTTGCAAATGAGCTATTCCAGGAATTGAAGGAGAACTGTGGATGTTCAAGTGCTCGTGTTTATGCTGTAATGATTAAGCATTTTGGAAAATGTGGGAGACTCAATGAAGCTATCAATCTTTTTAATGAGATGAAAAAACTTGGATGCACCCCTGATGTTTATGCTTATAATGCTCTCATGACTGGAATGGTAAGGGCTGATAGGGTGGATGAAGCATTCTCATTGTTTAGAACTATGGAAGAAAATGGTTGCACCCCAGATATAAATTCTCATAATATTATCCTGAATGGCTTAGCTAGGACAGGTGGTCCAAAGCGTGCTTTGGAAATGTTTACAAAAATGAAAATCTCAACTATTAAACCAGATGCGGTTTCTTACAACACCATTCTTGGTTGTCTTAGCAGAGCAGGTCTGTTTGAAGAGGCTGCAAAACTTATGCAAGAAATGAGTTCAAAAGGATTTCAGTATGATCTCATCACCTACTCTTCAATACTTGAGGCAGTCGGTAAGGTTGATGATTGTAAAGTGGTGGAGTCATGAGAACCATCTTGTATCACCTTTTTGAGTGACTCTTTCAATGGTTATTAATCAACACCCTTGAATTGCATCAATGATTTGAAGGGAAGGAACCCAAATTTTTTGAAGGTAGGGGTTAGGTTCATGGAAGAAAACCAATAACGTAAAAATACCCTCATATATAGTTTAGAAACCTTGAATTGTAGTTAATTTTAATGTGAAATAGGAAATCTACGTTAGTTAATTACCCTGTCGTTTAAGGTACGTTGAATGTGTTTGAGAGTTTCTCTTATAACAATGGCTTCCAGTTCTTTTTACCTTCCATAGAGATAAGAATGGGAGAGAAAGAAATGTGAGATAAGGATGAATGATATGATATGACCAAGAGAAATAGAGAAAAAAGTAATATTATAAAGTGTTATAGGAAATTGTCTCTCTTTATATTTTTAAAGCACCAGTTTATGAGTTTATTATTTTTATCAATAATATTAAATTGAAAAAAAAAACTCTGACTTAAATATTAGTCAAATAATTAATAAAATTAAATAAATGTTTAAAGGAAGATTAGTCTAATGTATTTCCATTCACATATAATGTGATTTATAGTTTAAGCGTACTGTTGGTAATCTAAATTTCAAATTCTTTTCAAATTAATTTCTAAAATTAAAATCCTATTTTACTGATTATTAAAACTAATTTCGTGCAGTTATCAACTACGTGATTTTGAAAATTTCTTCACACCACACATACATTAAAGTGAAGTGCATCATCAAGTTAAATTATTTATTCCAGATAATCATTTTTTAATTTATGTTTCTTGTTCTATTTTAATTTTAATTTATGGGTTAAATAATTTTAAATTTAGAAATTTTTATCATTTATCTTACATTGAAACTTTGAAACAACGTGAAACTAAATATAAAAAAATATGCACCATTAGCTGGTAAAATTCATGATAAAGATATTAAAATAAGTATTTTTAGCTTATTATTTTAATTGCCTATTTATTAACTAGACAAATACAAATATCACAGTATTTTTTTTTTTACATAGGAGATAACCAGTATGTAGAGATCGTATCATGACATCAATATTTCCTTACACACAATTTTACTTGAAATTAAAAAAAATATTATATTAGCTCTTAATTATTTAATAAATATTGATATATATATATATATATATACATAAATATTAATTATTTTTTAATTTATACTCAAAGTTTTAATTTGATTTCTATAAAAATATATTTATTATTTATCCTTATTTAATTTAAAATATATATTTTTCAAATTTTATAAATGGTACGAGTTTTGGTTATACATTATATTTTTTTCTTTGTTTTCCATTCTTCTAAATTTTAAATTAATAAGTTTATGCTATATTATCTATTTTAAAATAGATATATAACATATGATTTATAAGTTTTATTTTTCCATACATTTACTCAATAACAAATAATTAACGAGCGTCAAATGATACTATGATATATAGAGAGAGATACGTATTTGTATTGTAGCCTCAATGATGAGGTGAGTTGAGAAAGACAAAGAGAGAGAGAGTAGTACATCGGAGACTCATTGAGTTCACTGTTTCTCTGACTTTGATGCATGCTTATGCAGGAGGAAGAAGACGGTGAAAACTAAAAACAATCTGACTAAGTGTAAAAAGAAGAATGTGAAGAGGGTTATTGAGTGTAGAAAAAAGGTTTGGTCTTTGCTGCTGATGTTCATCACTGCAAGTTTCCGCATTTGGGTTTCTCTCCGACTAAAAAAAAAAGTAGGTCTCTTTACAGTAAATTTCTCTGCTTTCACTTGTCACCAATCCGATGCATTCTAGGATTTTTTCTTCTTCTTCTTCTTCTTCTTCTTGTTTGTTGTTCCTAAAATGTTTAGTGGTTTCGGAGTTCATTCTCAACAATGTTTTGTGCTTTTTAATGGAAGGTTTTTTGTTGTTCTAATAGTCAGAGATTGCTCGACTAGATTTTGTTTTGGTGATAATCTGATTCTGTATAAGCCTATTTCACTCTTGATTTTTGAGCGTTTGATGAACTCTTTTTTTCTTTATAAAAAAAATAATGATTTTTTGCAATCGCTAGCAAGATATTTTATTGTGGGATGCTTCTTAGCAGTTGCACTTTTATGTGTTTGTTTGAGGTATCATCTTTAGTTGGTTTGCAAATCGAAATGTATTATTTACAGTTTCTTCGTTTTTTTCTAAATCCGATCATCGATGTTGTCCATAAATTTGTTTGTTCCTAATTATTATGTTGTCGAGAATGTATTGGGAAAAGCTTTTATTTGATAAGTTTCTAAAATTCTCACGAGATTTGCCATTCTAAATTTACCACTTCAGGAAATTTAGATTATCGTATTGCTCTTTGTGCACCAAATTTCATGTTTATTGGGAATGGAAATGAATACTCACCCTGATATCAACTGTGAGCTGCAAAAAGTATCAACAGATTTGCGGATTCTTTTCTTTTTTGGGCTATTTTTTTTAAACCACTTACCATTTTGTACGAATTCCACTCCTAATCTATGGCAAAATTTGAAAGTTTCATTTCCTCTAATAATATCATGTACTCTACAAAAGAAGAAAAAGAAAAATTCTTTTGAGTGGCTGAATCAACGAACAATTTTTGTATGCATTGATGAGTTGTTGTGAACTTTGGTCATGATTCCTATTGTCTGGGAATTAATACATTGCTGTTTCTTTAGCCTTTTGAATTTGATGCAGCAAGGAAATGATGAGTTCTTCCTTTTGAGAGGAATGGGGTACTAGGATAATGCGGAAGAAGGGAAAAGGATCATATTTGGAAGATTTATAATCTCATGGCTGATTCTTCTTCCAATTTCTCTTTACCTTGTGATGCATTAATCCTAAGACAAATGAGTTTATCAATTTTCTATAACTCTGGTTCTAGGTTGGGGATTGGTGCTAAAGGTTTGCCGGATTCTGAATCTGTTTGGAGCCCTACATCTCCTCTTGATTGCAGACTCTTCTCAAATCTTAGAAATCCGCTTAGTGTCAAGTCTTGTAGACCATCAGTTCAAACTGGTCATAAGAAACAGTTTGATGACAGTAAAGTAGGCCTTGGCATCATAAGTTCTCTTGTTGATGAAACCAAACTTAACAATGACATCTTTGGTAAATTTAAGAGGAAAAGTATTATTTTTGGACCACAGGTGAAAACTAGCATCCTTAAATTTTCTAACAACCATGAGTTCTTGTCACCTTACTTGAAATCTAATTCCTTGCCCAAAAACTATGTAATTTCACTTCCTTCTGAAACCAAAACTCCCAAATCTGAAGTGGAAAACGTTGACAATGTCTCTGGAAAGAATGATGACAACTGGGAATCTGAAGCCTTCGAAAGAACCATGACTTCTTTGTCTTGTTCCTTTAAGCCTTCATCATTAATCGACTCAAATCAAAACTCCAATTTGGGAATGAATGAATTGTGTTTAGGAAATACATCTACATTAAGGAGTTTGCCTTCAGTGACAAGCAGAGACTCACATGTAGATAGTTGTTTGAATATTAAATCAAATTCTCTTCCAATATCCATTGATTTTAGCAAAGGGTGTCTAGGTTCACTCTCTGCAAGAGAGATAGAGCTTTCTGAGGATTATACCTGTATAATTTCTCATGGTCCAAACCCTAAGAGAACACATATTTTTGGTGACTGCATTTTGGAATGTCACAACAATGACTTCACTGAGTTCAACATGAAGGAAGAACGTGCTTTCAGAGCTTCTCAAATTCCTTCATTTTCAGAAGGATCAGCCCCTTATCCTTCTGATAATGTTTTGAGCTTTTGTTACTCGTGTAATAAGAAATTAGTGAAGGAGGAAGACATTCACAGACACAGGTATGTCCCAAACACCTCACTGTGCTACTGTTACTTCCATCAAGTCAAAAGCAATAGTTGTAATATATTGTATATCTTGCAGAGGTGGGAAAGCATTTTGCAGGTTTGGCTGTGGATCAGAGGAAATTTTGGTAAGAGAGGATTTGGAGAAAACTGGGACTTCCTCAATAGCGAGTTCTCCTGGCTCAAGTTACCATGATCTCTTCCTCACGGGTCTGCTTTTGTCCAAATGAAGCACTTTCTTTACTTTCTTCAGAAACACACTGAATAATTTTTTTTACAAACATCTACCTATGTGGATTTGTTTGTGCTATGCATGGTTACAAGCAAATTATATAGTGTGCTGGTGGTCAAGAACCATATTTCATGGTTCATTGAGTTATTTCTAGGAAAGCCAGAGTTTTCTCCATCGGATAACTCTTGAATACATGTGCATTGTAATGTTCACTTGATGAGTTGATGAAAGAGGCCACATCAGGCCCTGCTTCTCATCAATTTTTTTTCTACCCTTGCTTGGAAGTTAAACATAATCATATTAGATATGTGCCATTGAGATTTCTTGTAACTACTACTTTGTTTTTCATTGTTTGATCAGCAGATAAATTTGTAGATGAAGTTCTTGCGTTTGAAGCCAAGTTATGCGTCATGAAGGAATTTTAATATTTAAAATAATGAATATATAAGGATGTACATGAAAACATAAAATTTAATATGCATGTATTTTAAACCAGAAAACATATAAACAGTTTCTATTCACAGTCTAATTCCACTTCTTCAATGAAAAATAATAGAACATAATAAACGAGGATTTGACACCTCTAACATGAAGGAGTATGTTTTAACTATTCTGGAATAAATGTTACACTCAGCTTTTCTAAATATAATATATTTATTAGCAAAATTAATTTACTTTAATTAACATGATTAAATTTGTCTTTCCAGATTTATACTTAGGAGAAGGAATATAAATTAATAAAATAGATTTATTTTTTCTCTTGCGTGGATAAAAAAATGAAAGACACCCATTAATTAATCATATGAAAATAATTAAGAAAAAAAGAGATAATGAGTTGAGATAATTTTAAAGAATAGAAAAAAATATAAATTTGTAACAACTTTAATATTAATGTTATTAACTAAATTATGGGTTTTTGTTAATCTTACAGCATTGGTGAAAGAATGAGTCAGTAGAAAGTGATCATGTTGGGATGGGAATGCATTGGAAATGGCACCGAAATGTGCCGATGTAATTTTCAATGAAAAGGTTTTCTCTTTTGATTCTTTAGCATTTTCTTTATATTAATCAACATTCCAAAGTTGTATGAATTTGATAAAAAAAACTTATTATATTCAGGGGAGGTAGCATCTATTAAGAATGTTCGACCAAATACTGCTTCATTATTCCTTTGATTGTAAGATTTCAATGTCCTCCTTGCTGTATAACCCTTTAAGCTTAGCTTGGAAATTCACGTTCATGCCATTTCTTCATTTCACATGTTCATGTAATTTACTCAGTCTTCATAATAAAGCCGTTTTTTTAGTGAAAACTACAAATAATGCTGAGGTAACTAACCAGTTTGCGATCTATTTTTTTTTTTTTTCTACTTAAAAAGTCATGTTTTAGAAAACACTGCTTCAAACTCGTGGGATAATTGTGTCAAATTTTGTTTAAAAGAAGAGATTACCATTTTTTCATTAGTTTTTTTTCGTCGAAGGTTATATTCGTATCTGAACTCAAATTTTCTACATGAATGAGGTTATCATACATTACTCGGATTCATTTCCCTCTAACAAAAGGCAAAATTGCTGAAGTAGCAGAAACTAAAAGGAGTAACACGGGTAGGGCCATTCTTCTAAAAGAACAATGTCCTAGATTTTGAAGGCAACTCCTTTTTCTTTTTTACTGGTTAATATTGTTTTGAAGGTTCCTACTAACAGAAACTAGACTCTCCGTAATTTAAACAAACATTCTTCACCGACAAAAACTGAAGGTTAGAGTTTATGCTTATAAGTTTTGTGGTTTCATAGACACCATCAATGGGAAATCAAGGCTGAGCTTTCCAGATCGAGGAAATGTCAGCCACAGCTTCACCTACTGTGAGATAGACTCCTTTTAATCCAAAGGAATCCAAAATTTTTGATTTGTGCAATTTTTCCACCACATTTCCCACAGGATTTGCCAACACAAGCTGCAGTGACCAATTATAAATGTAGACGTTAGCAATAAAATAACCGAAGTTTTTAGGAATTGTGAGTCTGTGACATGCCAATCAGTGTGTGTACCTGAAGTGATCTCTTCTCCAGCATCTTTCTAAGTTCACATAAAGTGTCAAGCCCACTTGTGTCTATGGCTGTGACAGCTGAGAAGATAATATTGTTGAGTCAAAATGTGTCGAAAATTATGATAACTATTGTGGTTGGTCCAATGAAGTATGTACCTGTCATGTCTAAAATTATGCACTTCAATGAAGCTCCATCATTAGCTTTTATATGTTCTTCCTCTTCTCGGACCCACCTCAGTATCCTGTTGCAGGATAAGTGCTCAATCATATGGAATCATGGATTAAAAAAAGCAGCATGTTAAACCTCACGAATTGAAATTATAGATATCTCATTGACCAACCTTTCTTGAAGATATGTTGAGTTAGCAAAATAGATTGGAGACTCAACAGCCAAAATGAGGAATGAAGGAACTCTTGAAGCTTCTTTGTATTGGTTTATGTTGTGGAATATTAGAGTTCCTGGTATATTCCCCAAAACCAAAGTGTTTGGTCGAGTAACATGAAGCAGGATCTTGATGACTGATATGACAACCTGAAGATCTTGACCGAGTCAGTTGACATTTATGGCATCGCAATTACATAGATTATCATGCTATTATATTTTAGCTTTGTCATAACAGGAAAAAAGCTAATGAGTTATCAACTTACCGCTATACCAAGGCCTAGGGGCACTGAGATGAACAGAACCCCAAAAAAGGAGCACAGACATGCCAAGAAATCAAGTTTGTCAACCTTCCACAATTTATACGCAGATTGATAATCTATTAGCCCAATCACAGCAGTGATGATAATGGCCGCTAAGACAACATTTGGTGTATAGTTGAACAGAGGCATGAGAAACAAAAGGGTCACTAGAACAGCTGCAGCCATGATTATATTTGAAACTGTTGTCTGTGCTCCGGCATTGTAGTTAACAGCTGATCTAGAAAAGGATCCTGCAAGTATATTTTACACTTAAGAGTGGTGCTTCTTAGGTAACCAACTAAGCATATGTTCAAATTAAAGGAGAATCATTACCTGTTGTAACATAACATGAAGAACAAGAGCCAGCTATGTTCATTAGACCAATAGCCATCATTTCTTTGTTTCCATCGACCTGGTAGTTCTTGAGTGATGCAAATGTTCTACCTACTGCAATTCCTTCCTGAGATATTAGAAAATTTGTGGAATAAGTATGACAATTAAATGAAACTACATAATATGATATATTAATGTCTCTAAACATGTAGTTATGACAACTTACAGTCAGAGATAAGATCCCTGTGATAATTCCAGTTTTGATAGCAAGAGCCAAATAGGGACCATTGAAGAATAACATGTTTGATGAAGGTGGATTAACTCCCTTTGGTAAGTGTCCAATCTGCCAGAGAATAAACAGAATAGTAGTTATTAGAAGTTATATTTGTATGCATCTCTTGTGTGTTGAAAAACCAACGATCAAGTATCAATCTTACAATTGAAATTTGATGAGTCTTATTTTTCAGAAGAAAGACTAAAATGGTTGACAGAATAACTGATGTCAATGGGGCAGCGGCTGAAACCCAGAAGAGTTTTGGTTTCCTCAAGCTCTGTTGCAATGATTAAGAACTGTCAGATTTTAGTGGTAAAAAAAATGTTTATTGCGGAAGTCAGAGAAATTTACAATGTGTCTTGTTGTCATCAGGAATGCCAGGAAGCCGAATCCCAAAAGAATGGTTTGCCATGACCACTGCAAAGTTGGTGAGATATGTTAGAGAACATGCATTTCTTTACGTTTACATTTGCAATTATTGAAAAGAAGAAAAATAAATAAATATGATTTTTTGCTATTGTGATTCTCCAAGGTTTTTTGGTCTTGTTTTTGGAATGTGATTCCCTATATAATACTCCAAGAATACATGTTTAGAAAAATAGGTATCATTCGCTTAGAAATCTTGGAGTACAACGATAGTTTAAATTCTTCAAAAAGAATAAGTTCCATGAGAGTGTTTGAAAGAGTCGCGTGGTGCGGACGAGTATTATTAGCCGTCACCTTGAAGACAAGCGAAACAGAGTAGCTATAAAAATATCAAAACTATTTTTTGTGGCTGTTTTTTTAACTATACTTTCGCTACTTTATTCGCATTTCAAATATTAACTTGAATGATTAAGTTTTAAAACTTGATTAAGTCTCCCCTTGTCTCTTCTCTATTTCTCCCTTGTAAGATTTATCATAACAGTTTCTTGTAAAAAAAATAAATAAATAAAGCCACTATTTGAAAGAGATTTTTTATTTAATTTAATTTAAAAACCAATTTTCATGTTTGAAATTAATTTTTAAAAATATATTTAAATTAATTTATACATTAAATTACATATTTATAATATATTAATAAGTAAAAATTTATTTTATCATAATAGGGTAAAGATTTAATCGCTACTACAAACAGATAAATCAATTTCAAAAATTAAAACTTTACACGATCACCTCAATTTCAATCTTTTTTTATAGCTTTTCATGTAAAAAAATGAGTTAATATTATTTCTGAAATTTTGGATAAATATTGATTTTTGTAAATTAAAAAAAAAATCATCTTACAATTTCAGAATTTATGTATTTAGTCAAAGGTTGACACGTGGAAGATACTCAGAGCATCAGGACACCACTGTTTTCCGTAATTTAAAAGTATGTGATGAGAAAGCATGCATTCTTAAAGCAAATGGTAATTAGGCTAGATGCTCTTGGTGTGAGTGTACCTCGTGCCTTTGGTTGAAAACAGAGATCATCACAGGAACTATTTGCATCTTGCTGGTAAAGTGCACTATTCCAAGTAAACCTTTCAGCTGCTGCAGTGACACAATAATGGCAGCACCTCCTGTGAATCCAACCAGAGTTGCCTTCGATAGAAAATCAATTACGAACCCTAATCTGTAGTAGTTGTACACAAAACAGCGTCAGTTCTTAATTTTTCTTTTTATTCCTATAGTTATTATATATATATATATATATAAAGTGTTTTTAATGTCCGGTAATTCTGTTTACCGTTAGTACCTTAGTATACCCAGAGAAGCTTGGAACACACCAGCAAAGAAAGTGGCTGTGAAAGCCATTCCAAGATACAGAATAGGGTCTTGTCTGTAAGAGATTTTTTCACTTAACATTGATCCCATGACCAAAGACGCAATAGAAACAGGTCCAACACCAAGATGTCTAGAACTTCCAAGCAGAGAGTATATCAATGGCGGCACAAAACTTGAATCTGCACCATGCACGATGTTCAGCAGTTGTTATATTTTACAACAAATCACACACACACACAAAAAAAAAAATACTAACATAGTCCAATAATAGGTGGCAAGTTTGCAAGCTTAGCATAACTGATCCCCTGCAAAGAGACAAAGTTGATACATTTCAGACACGTTCAGATGTAAGTACTTCAAGGTTTGAAGAAAAGAAAAGAAAATGAGTGAAAAGAATAATTAAAAATTTCGTGTTTGGTAACAAGAATTTTATGAGACCTGAGGAATGGCGAGGCTGGCAATGGTGAGGCCAGATATGAGATCAGAGCGGAGAAGGGTGAGGTTGTAGTTTGGGGCCCATTGAAAAATGGGGAAGAAGTATTGAAGTGCTAGGATGAACTTTTTGAAGCAAGTTTGGTTCTTGAAACGGTAGAGAGGGTCGTCGGGGAAGAAGATTTCAGAGACTCTGTGTCTGAGTTTGTGGAGGGTGGTTCTTTGTGGTGGCAACTGCACTGCATGAATTTCTAAAGATGGTGTCTGGGTTTGGATTCTGAAAATGGTTTCATGGTTATCAAAGTGTTCTACTCTGTTAGAGTTCACACCCATTGATAATTGCTTTCCTCTGCCTTTCTTCTTTTTTTTTTCTCTTTCTGCGGTTTCTCTTGATGCCAACCACAGCTTCGGTGCCAATTTATAGGGCACACATGTTTTACAGCAGAACGTAACTGTCCCTGTTGTTGTTCATTACAGTTTAACCTTGTATTCTAGGGACATGTTAGTTATTTTTTTTTATTCTTTAGTATATTCTTTCAGTTATTAGTCTTAATGTTCAAATTGACTGAACACACAAGTAAGTAATTGATATTAATGAATCTGTCTTTTTTTTTTTTTACAGACCGCAATTTGATGTAATGAATTAATTTCCCAATGCATCTTTAAAGTGCATTATTTATTTTATTATTGTAATATTTTTAACATTTGGATGTGAGAGAGGAAAAAAAAATAAAAGAAAGAAATAAGAATAAAAATAGAAAAAATATGTAAAATTATTTGAATGGAATGAAAAGTGAAATATAAAATAAATTTATTTATCATAATTATTATTATTACGGTGAAAAAAAAGTTCATATTGATAATTTTTTCATTTTTTTCTTTACTTTGAGTGGAAAAGATATTTCTTGAACTTTTTTTTAATATCACTTGAAATAAATAGAGACTCTTTTGGTGTGCTTTGTTTTTTTAGTTGTCCTTGGGTTTTTTTCGTATCTTCCGTCTTTAAGCGCCTAAAAATAAGTGTTATCAATATTATCTTATTATAAAAAGAACTATGTTAAAAACTATTTAATAAAAAATTAAATAATAAAAAATTAAATCATAATTTTTTTAATAAAAAAGAATTATAAAAAAGTTTTTGTAAAAGTAATTTATTATTTATGTTTATTTACTTTGTATAAATATATTGTCTATGTTTACTTATTTATTTATTATAAATATAAACTTTATATTTTAAATTTACAAAATTATTTATTTTTCTTTCCCACTTTTTATCTAGTTTAATTAATTATATAGAGATAGATATTTTGAGTTGTTTGAATGTCATATAAGTAAATGTCATAATAAATTAACAGAGAGGAATATTAATTAAGATAAGATTTTATTGCTAAATAGTAATTAGTATATATATATATATATATATATATATATATATATATATATATTAGGAAACAAAAAAATCTAACAGAGAGATAATTAAAATGAATTTTTGTTTATAAACCTTGATTGGTATATATAAAATCTAACAGAAAGATTCTTAAAACAAAAAAAAAATGATGTGATCTTGGATAAAATGACTTCGTGTATACTTGAAAATTTAATTTCAATTATACATTATTTCCTTTGTTTCATTTAGAATAAATTTTGTAATATTTTGCTTAAATGTCATGTAAAGAAATGGGGTAAAAAAATAATCAAATTACAAATATAATAGTACAAAGAGAATTGAATATTACACTTATGCAATTTAATCCATGAAATCTAACATTTTAAAAATAAATATTTTATTAAAATATATACTATATAATTTTATTATATTAAATAATTCTTCATTGAGTTAATAAACTACTAACTAAGTGTTGTGTACAATGTTGTACACAACATATTTTTTTATTTAAAAATATTTATGAATTATTTTTTAAACAAAATATTAAATTATACATAAAAATAAAACATGAAGGTACCTGTTTAACATCTTTACATCAAGAACCAAAAACCTAAGTATGCACCACTTGCACACACTAAACTAAATCATTTCTTCGACAAGCTTGTGACCAACCATATTGCTCTATTAAAAATAATGTTATTAAAACGTGATTGTTGTTGTTAACGTTTGCAATTGGAATGATAAGGACACTTGTGGTTTCTTAATTCACTTTTTAATTTACATGTAAAAAAATATTTTTCAATTTAAAAGTATCATATTATTAAATTAAAAAAATCAATTTATTATAACCTAAAATGATAAATAATAATGAATTAAATATGAATAAAAAATATGAAATGTTGATATATACAAATATGCTATCCCCTAATATAATGACTTATAATGTCATATAATAATAGATTCCATATTTACAACTTTATTACATTTTTTTCCCTTAATTTAGTCTTGCTTTTTCACCTTTTTCACATTAACCTGTCCATATTGTTTCATAAAAAGTGTAATACCGGGTTAAAATATGAACAAAGCACATATGTCATGATATCAACCAAAAAAGAATACTATTTTTATTTAAAAGTGACAAGCTTTATAACTTGAGTCAACAATGTACTCAATGTGCCATCAAAACTTAACTTACTGTTTAACGACAGGCACAACAGTTAACTTAAACCTTATCCTCACAATAATCCAGTTAGGCATAAAGTTACACAAAAAATAATACTCATTTCTACTTTTAATTAGCATGCATGTAGGCCTATATATATACCAGTCTGGCTTGGCTCAGCAAAAGTTGTTCCTTCAGTTTCATTATGTGCATGGTGCCGTGAGCATAACAAAAACGTCATTCTACGCTCAAACTGCATGTAAATTTGTTTCCTACCACAGAATACAAGGTGGGAGGACAGAAATTTTTCTTCAAGACAAAACAAAACAAGTTGTAAAATCTAAAACAGACAAATTTAAAGTATAATTACTCTTTAGGTATATAACAGTGTAAGATGCAGAGAGTTCATCTCCAATAAAGAAAACTCCACTTTGTGTTTACTATTTGTTAAATCCAAAAAACTGTTTCTTTACTTGATTTGGTTCTATGATGTTTGACTATTTTGCATAGTGGCACCTTTTGTTTATGAATTTAGTATATGGTTGATTTATATTTGTACAAAGGAAGATAAATTTCATTCCTATGTATACTTTGTATAATTTGTTATGATTAGGAGAAATATATATATATATATATATATATATATATATATATATATATATATATATATATATATAACATATATAAGATAAATACATTTCTTTATAAATTATATTCCAAAATAATATCACAATTGTATTTTTTAATTGAAGGTCTTTTCTTTGGAAGAAGAACCATGAAAAAGTGTTTTCGTTTGACTCTCCAATAAGTAAGGCAAGTGCTTGAGAAGTTGGCAAGCATGTCATGCAAATTCCTCTTCCAATATGATACTGTTGTACAAGACCCAATTTCCTAATTATAACCAGAGAAGGAAAAAAAAAGTTCTTCACATACATATATATATATATATATATATATATATATATATATATATATATATATATACACGTGGTTGCTGTAGTATAGTTGTCTTCTACATTCTTCTACACTCATCTTTTCTTTTTCTAAGGGTTCATATTCAACACAAGAGCCATTTAAACATAGTACATGTTTAAATTACTTTTGGCTTTGTTTATTGAACAAGTTGAACATAAATAACAGTATTAATTACTTGCTTTGTCTGTAATCTCACCAAAAATCAGTTCCTACCGTTCTTCTTGACTGAAATTAGTCTACTAACATATTTAGATTGATAAAGAAATTAAAACGTGAAACAGAAATATTAGGTTTTAGTTTCAGTTTTTCTATATATATATATATTGCTTATAAAGCTGAAGACGGAAAGACATTAAACAGAATATAAAGTGTTACAAGTAGTTCTTAAGCCAATAACAGGAAGGTTAGGTTTGGTTAAGAGATTAATGGAACAGTTTACGCGTTGATTCAAGGCCCATCTATATCCCACTTTGAAGATTCACCACTAGAAATTCTACATCTGGATTGCTGTTCAATGACAAACGAATCTCACCCATAATTTGGCTGTTGATTTTAGAGATTCCATGATCAATTTAATTACTTGTAAATTGATACCATGAGCCCACCACTAATCTTTATCATCAACACTTTTAGCTACTGAATGTCTATCCCTTACTTAGTATTACTGGAAAATTCTCTTCATTCTGAGGAACTCAATCAATTGATATGCATATCTATGTATGCATTGTGGGACATTTCATGAAGTTGAGGAAAGTGACTACTTTAAAACAAACAAATGTTATAGTGCTCTACTTCCATGGATCACAGGAACAAGTTGTACACCTTAATAGAGACATGAAAAAGGTCCTTCATACAAGATTACCTACAAGGGTTTATTTGATAAACAAATGCAAGTAGATAGACAGAAAGGACATTCTGAAAGATCCAGTTAGTAACACAAAGTTAGGTAGGTATACATGAACCATTGGTTCTTTTTTGTTTTCCTCCATTTGCTAATGAGTTGGTACTGTTGGAATGGTTCCTTTTTTAACAAATACCAAACGTTCAACTATTTCTACACAACTTTTTCATTTATTTTTTGAATTCTGTACAAACCAATATCATCAAACTCAAAAAAGTTAAGATTTACTTTTCTTAAATCAAGTAACGCCCCTCAGTGCAGAATCAAAGAGAGTCAAAAGTTTGTGCAGGATGAAGCACTCAGGAGCCACTAATATTTTTGAGGCGAAATAGATATTTTGACTTGGGTGGAATACATGCCAGAGTTGGTAGATTCTACTTCTCTTTGTTGTTTACTGAATTGAAGAACAGAAAGGGAAAGGGACAGACTGTACGCGGCGGGAGAGAGTTGCGTTAGATTGGTGCATATGCGTGTCAGAAATTGGATTGGCAAAGATAAGGAAAAAATTTGATGCATGATGAATGAGGAACCCACAATTGATGGATCAGATTCTCATGGAATTCAAAAGGGTACACAATGGATGGAGTAGATGCAATTTCCTTTCTCTTTAGACTCCTCCTACTCCCATTTTGAGAGGTTCTCTGCTTAGTGTGAATAATTAAAGCTTTGATGGAAACACGTGGCTTGTCACCAATCATAGCAGAATTGCTGCTATTGTTATTGTAGGTCAGCGTTTATCCTGTACATTGATTTTATTTTGCTCACAGGAATTTGATTCTTCCTTTCCGAATGATCTAACTTAGATTTCCTTGGAACATGTTTCTTCTTAAAGCACGGATCAAAATTAATCTTATCAAATCACTTCTATCTTAGGAGATGGAGAAAGAATACGCACTATTCTAATGCAT